GGCTCGCTTTCTGCTTCCTACCTTTAGCCGCCATTCTTGGAAATTCCCCCCTGGTAAAACTTCTTTCCAGGCCTTTCACCCTTAAGCTAGTGCTTGTTTCTGTCGATGAGGTGGGTCGGCCTGTAAACACCAGGTTGTTGGTTCTCCTTTTTAATCCATGGTTTGCAAAATGGTTGTCTTTTGAGGTAAGTTGACCCACTGACATTCCAGTGTTAACATTGTAGGTATGTGTTGATTCCTCTCATTTAGGTGTTTTGTTGTTTTAGGTTTTGATTTGTGTGCAGTTGAATCATTGTTACTCTCTAATTCCTTGTGTTTCTTCTCCTGTTGTTTGAACTGGCCTTCCTTCTTGTGGTTTTGTTTGCTTTCACTTTTCTGTGTGCAGAAGCCTTGGAGATCTTTGTTATTGCTGGGCTGTGTGGTGATTATATATTTGTTTTTGGTTTCGGCTTTATTGGTGATAGACTTTTATTGCTCCCTGGTATTTGAATGATAGTTTTTGTGGGTAAAGAATGCTAAGGTTGAAGTTATTTTCATTCAGTTCCCAAATACCTCCACCCATTGCCCTTTTGTTTTTAAGGTTTACATTGAGAAATGCTGTTGATTTTCATGGTTTTCCCCTTATTGTTATTTGTTTTTTCTCTCTTACAGCATTCAATATTCTTTCTCTTTCTCTTGCCTTGTTGTTTTAATGATATATCCTCATGGGAGAAGTTCTATTTTTGGTCAGGTCTGATTTGGGTATTCCTGGAGGTTCCCGTACCTGAATGGGCATAAGTTTCTGTAGATTTTTGGGAATTTTCTATTATTTATGTCAATTGAATATATTATGAAATCCCTTTTGCTTGGAACTCTTCTCCTTCTTCAATGCCCATTTGAGTCTAGGGATTGGTTCTTTTGATGTTTAGGAGTCATGAGTTCTTGGGCAATTCCTTTTGCAGGCTTGAGTTGTTGACTAACAGTTCTTCAGTTTCCTTTAATTCCTATTGGCAGCAAATCTTCAAGTTCTGAGATTTTGTCTTCTTGCTTGTTCTAGTCTGCTGGAGTGGCCTTCCACTGTGTGTGTTTCTGTTGAGTCTTTTTCTGAGGTTTCCATATCATGGGTCACTTCCTCTTTGATATTGTCTATTTTCATTTTAATTCATTTACTCCTATTATAGTTTCTCTGTTTCACTTTGGTGTTTATTTAGGGTCCTATGAGCTCATTTATTTGTTCTGTGTTTTCTTGGTATTCTTTTTTTTGGTGTCTTGAAAATTTTTGAGTGCCTCTTGTACATTTCGGTTAACCCATATTCTATATATCTCCATGAAATTCTCCGTGATTTGCAGGATTTCGGTTTGGTGTGTTTTTCTGGACATCGTTGGGAATCTTTGGTGTCATTTAATCTTTGTTTATTGGAGTCTGGAAACTGGGTATTGTTTTCTTCTTTCCCTCTGAATCTTGTATTAAACTATTGTTTGGGGGAGAATGGTTTCCATCCCTTTTTCTTCTTCCCATTGCTCCACTTGGTACTGTGCAAATATGTTCTTGACAGGCTAGTTGGTGGTTTTAGTCACCCGTTTTCTTTCCATTGATTTAATTTTTGCTTTGTGGCTGTTTTGGTTTTTAGCTAAGTTGGTGTGCTATTTCTGTCCCTGGTCTGGGTGTAATTTAGTAATAACTAATTTACAAGTTTAATAGCTGACCAGTAGTTTGTATGTTATATAGAAGACCCCTTGGTGGTAATATCTATAAGCAGTGGGAGTTGGGGGGGGGTTAATGTTTGTAAGGCTAGCTATAGAAATTGGGTAATTGGATAGGATGGCACTAAAGGGGGAGGTGGTAAGTGGGGGGTGTGAGTGGGGGAAGCAGCATAGGGTCTGCTGGTTTTTGTGGTCCTTGTTTGTGTTTGGGTGTATTTTTGTTGTTGTAGTAGAGGGTACTTGTGTTAGGGATTGCAGGGGTTGGGGTTGTGTAAAGTTGGTGTAGGAGGTTGATCAGCAGGTGACAAGCATGTAGGAGGGAGGGGTAGTCTGGTGACAGGTTGGGGGAGAATGGGAGAGGAAGGTGAAGGCTGGGGAAAGAGGGTGGATGAGAAGGGGCATAACAAGTTGCTGGGGAGGGGTGCAATGGATTTTAGCACAGGCAAAAGAGGGAGAGTGAAGGGGGTGAGAGTAGGGATGAGAGGATGATGATGGTAAAGTTGATAGTATAGAAAGAGAAAAAAAGATAATAGGAATAAAAATAATAATAGAAAACCCACAATAACAAAACAAACAAAAAAACCAAATCAATGGAATAATGAACAAACAAACAAAAAAGGACAAATGCCAGGTTCAGGAACAATGCAATTTCAGTCTTGTTTAAGTTCTGGAGTCACTCCTCCAGCATCCAGTCCTGGTATTGGCACATAAGCAGAAGCTCTGATGTGGTCTCACCAGGTGTTGGCTTGTGAGTAGTGTTTTGGTCTTCGGCTAACCAGTTTAATTGAAATTGTGAGGTGAGGTAGGTTTTGCCAGATCATGCAGGTGGTCAGAGCTATTGATTTCTCAGTGATATCTGTGTTATCCTTCAGCTGCAACTGCTTGGTCAGCTCTCCCCCAGTGAGGTGTGGCAGTTTAGGTTCAATGCTGCCTCAGGTTCAGGAGATCAGCTCTGTAGTCCACTAGTTGTTTTGTTCTGCTTTGGAGGGTGGCTTTTCACTGTGCTTGGTTACTGGGATTTCCATGCTGGGGGGCTTAGTTCTTTGCCTCACCCCCTTTCTGTGGGCAGGGTCATGGTCCATCAGGCACCCCCTTCCCCCGCCCCGCTCTGACAACTGCTTTGTGAACAGCTCTGTACTAAGTTCTTAGAACTTCTTATCTGGTTCTCTACAGAGACTTTTCTCTGAGTCTCTATCACCTCTCTGCTTCTGCCTTCAGTTCAGCCCCTCTGACCCTGCAGCCTCTTTAACCTATTCTTAGTATTCATTCTGTAACATGTGAACACACACACACACATATATACATATATGGATATATAAAATTATGTGAAGTGTAATGTGTGATCTGAGACTTAATATTAGTAATTCAGATTGGAATAAAAGTGTGCTGGGCATGGTGGTGCACCCCTGTAATCCCAGCTACTAGGGAAGTGGAGATCAGGAGGACAGAGGTTCAAAGCCAGCTAGGCCAGAAAGTGAGAAAGACCCCATCTCAACAAAGAAGCCAAGTGTGATGCCTATGGTCCCAGCCATGAGGGAGACATGGGTAGGAGGATCACAATCTGGGGCCTGCCCTGAGCAAAAAAAAAAAAAAAAATATATATATATATATATATATATCCTATCTGAAAGATAGCCTAAAGCAAAAAGAGGTGGGGACATGACTCAAGTGATAGAGCACCTGCCTAGCAAGCACAAGGCCCTAAGTGCAAACCCCAGGGCCACCAAAAAAAAAAAAAAAAATCACCACCAACAAAAACCTTTTGAACTTGCCAGGTATGGTGATTCACACTTTTAATCCCAGTACTCAGGGGGCTGAGGCAGGAGGATCAAACACTTGAAGCCAGTCTGGGGTGCAGAGAGGGAAAGAGAGACCTTAGCTTAAAAATCAAAGCAAACCAACCAAACAAAAGACCTCCTGCACAGTGATGTTCAAAGAGTTTCTGGAATGGTAAACAGTCTGAGGTGCTAAGTGGGTGACATCCTGGAGAGGGCAAGGCAGCCCCTATGCATCTCTTCCACTTGGCATTCCTCATGATGAGCACGTGTATAAAATGTGCTCCTGAGTTCTAGGAGAAGTTCCAGCACACTGAATCTGAAGAGACGGTGTGGGTTAGTCAGTCAGTCAGAGTGGCCTGGGACTTGTGACCAGTGTCTGAAGTAGGGACCATCCTGTGGGCTGAGCCCTTGCTCTGTGAGGTCTGTGTTAACTCAGGGTAGATGGTGTCAAATTTGAATTGTTGGAGGCCCAGTGAATGTCTGGCAAATTAGAGAACGGTGTGGTGCCAGAAAACATTCCATCAGTGCTGAGAAAATGAACGCCATGGTGTGAATATCCTCAGTGGCAGATTTCTAATTTTCCAAATATGGCCACAGTCCTGGCTTCCTTCCCATGTGGTTTTCTGCAGTAGGAATCTCCTCTTCTGCATCAAGAGGTGGAACCTCTTTCTTGACCCCTTGAATCTGGACAAGCTTGTGACTGCCCTTATGACCAAGGGAATGTGGCACGGTGAGCTGCGCCAGTCTTCCATGCAATCCTGGGCTGGGAGCTTCCTCTTCTGTCTCTTACAATACTTGTTATTGGAATGTTCCCTCTCAGAGCAAGCCACATGGAGAGACCACGTGTAGGTGAGATAATTTAAACCATTTCTGCTAATCTAGCTAATTAGGCTACTCTGCCTTTTAGAATTTATTCCATGAGGGGAAAATCTTGTTATTTCATCAGTATTTAGGGGTGGTGTCTGCTAGCATTTGGGTAAAAGTCTCCCAGAGGTCCATGTGTTAAAGACTTGGTCTCCAGCAGGTGGTCATATTAGGAAGTAGTGGAGCCTTTAAGAGATGGGAAGAAGGTCTTATGGTCACTGGGATCATGCCCTTAATGGGGCTATTGCATCCCAGCCATGAGTTGAGCAGCTTTTTGCTCTGCCATGTGCTCTCTGATACCACATGTTGCCCTGACAAAGTCCTAAAGCAAAAAGGCCAACTGACCATGGCCTGAAACTTTTACAATCGTGAACAAAAATAACCTTTTCTCTTTATAAGTTGGTTATCTCAGGCATGTGTTATAGTAACAGAAAGCTAATTCAGTGCCTATTTAAAAAAATTATATCCATTTTATTTCTAAAGGTGTTCATCCAGTTTAATGACTAATGTGTACAATGATAATAGAATTTAATTTTACCAAGATAGTTAGTGACTATTTTTACATAAAGTTTTGGGAACTACTCTGAGCTTCTGGAAGGACGAGGGAAATATTAATGTAAAATAATGTCAATAACACATGAATTAATGGCCATTGTCCTCCCAGGTTTTGGCAACAGATGGTAAAGGAAACAAAGTCGTACCTTGCAAAATTCTCCTTCTCCGCATAGTTTAGCTCTTCAAGACCTTTACATATGCGCTCCTGCTCCACAGCACGCTCTTCCTGTTCTTTGGCTTTCCGTTGTACTGAAAAAGGCAAAAGAAATTATTTCCAAGTGACTTTTGCAGAGAAGACCTGTCAGCATCTTTCTGGGTACCAAAGTCATTCTGTCTGGCTGGGCATGTGTGGTACACAGCTGTAATCCCAGCACTCAGGAGGCACAGGCAGGAGGATAGCAAGTTTGAGGCCAGCTTGGGCTACATAGTGAGATCCTGTCTCAAAAAAAACCAAAACAAGCCATACTGTCTTTAGAAAGGTAGAACTCAGAATTACTGGGGCTGGAGCATGGATCAAGAAGGGAGAAGTATGAGCTAGTCATGGTGGTATACACCTGTAGCCCCAGCTGCTTTGAGAGACTGAGGCAGAAGGATTGCTTGAGCCCAGGAGTTTAGGACAAGTCTGTGCAGCACAGTGAGAATTAATCCACAGAACTAGGATGAGCTTTCACTTGCAAAGACTATTTGTGTGAAATCTGTCAGTACCCTAACAGTAAATGTGCCCATACATTGCCTCTCTGGCAAAAATATATATTTCTGGCCGAAATGCGAAGGCGGCAGTTTACCCTCTCAAACTTTACTCTGTGACCAAGCACTGTTTGCAGCTGAGGAAACATAATGGCCTAGTATTATGTACGGTAAGAGACACACTGTGACTATAAGATTAATGGTACCCTAAGGCCTGGGTAAGCGTCTCTCCAGGTTGACACTGTGTTACTTAGTAGTATGATGCAACCTGTGTCTAGGGATTTTTATGAAACAAGGCCATCTCATCACACATGTACGGAAATAACGTTCAGAAACCTTAAAACAAACTCATCCTTATAAGAGAAACTTAAAACTTCGTTCATGAAAGAAATACCTAGCTTCTGGTGGACTGAATGCAAGTATAAAAAAGAGAAGAATTCCACAAATTTTGAGAATGGCCTCTGGATAGAGACTCTCGTGGTCAGTCAGTCATCTGAGATGTCAGCAAGCCACAGTGAAAAAATGATTTTTTTTTTCAGCACTGGGGTTTGAACTAAAGCTCAGGTTCTTGCACTTACTAGGCAGGCACTCTGACACTTGAGCTCTTGCCAACTATTTGCCTGGGGCTGGCTTGAAACCATGATCCCCCTGATGTCTGCTTCCCAAGTAGCTGGGATTACAGGCATGAGCCACCACCAGTGCCCAGCTAGGAAGATTCATTTTGAATGGGGGAACACAGAGAGCTTCTGGAGGAATGAAACACTTGAACTGGCCTTGAAGGATGTTTAGGGTTTCTCAAGGTCAAGAGCATCACAGGCAAAAATAAATAAATAAATAAACTACCTAAGCAAAGCTATGAAGTTCTGAAGATATCGAAGAGAGACATAAAAATGAGGGGAGGGATGTGTCTGTGCTCCACCTTCTTTCGTCCTTTATAATCACCAAGGCATGTTGTATTTAAATGACACACTGTTCCTTCAACCGTGAGAACATCTCCCCTGGGACTGCTAGAATCTGCCAGGATATGAAATTCTTCCTGTGCTCATGTATCCAATTAGATAAGATCTGCAGAAGGAGGGATCTTGCCTTAATACTTTTTGCGTCACTCATGGTGTTTCACACAAACCTACTTAAATTGAGGTAAGGGCAGAATATAAAATAATTGTACTTCAGTTCCTTACACTTTTCCTGAACTTGGAGTTTTCTTGTACACATGACCTCACTCATGAGTTGTCTCCTTGCCTCCTTTTCAAGTCTCAGCTGTTTGTCCTTCTCAGCCAACTTCTTTTTCTTCTCTTCCTCTAAGATTCTGTCCAACTCTTTCTCCTGTGCCTTTTCTTCCTCATGTCGCTGTATCAAATATTTATTGTATATCTTCTGTTCTCGTGCCATATCTTCCTACAGGACATAAAAGTTAATTCATATGGCTAAAACTTTTAGGTGTAATAATGACATTAAGGATAAGTATAAAAGCAGTCTTTTAAGCTACCGTCCCAATCTTTCAGAGCTACATACCAAAACATTTACAGATGAACAATTATGTCTGGAGTTTACTTAAAAGACACAGGAGTGGTGGTGGGTAAAACTGAAACAAGAATGGCTGTTAGTTGATGGTTTTTGAATCTAGGTGACTATGGAGTGGGAAACAGTGTTGTAGATACAGCACCAAAAGCACAAGCAACAAAAGAAAATACAAATATATTGGACTTTCTCAAAATTCAAAACTTTTGTGATTTAAAGGACACCAAGCCACAAGCATGGCTCAAGCTGTAGGGAGCCTGTCTAGTAAGCATAAAGCCCTGAGTTCAAATCTCAGTACTGCCAAATAAAGGACACCAAGAAAGTGAAAAAGACAACTCACAGAATGAGAGAAAATATTTGCAAATCATTTATTTAATAAGAGATTTACATCTAGACTATATAAAGGGTTCTTGGGGTACACATGATGGTGCATACCTATAATCCAGAGACTTGGAGATAAAGACTGGTTTGAGGCCAGCCTGGGCAAAAAAATTAGCAGGATACCATCTCAACAAAAAAGCTGGGTGTGGTGGTTTGCACCTGTCATTCCAGCTCTGTGGGAGGTGTAGGTAGGAGGATCACAGTCTGAGGCCAGCCCCAAGCAAAAACAAGAGACCCTATCTGAATAATAACTAAAGGAAAAAAGGGCTGGGGGGCGTGGCTCAAGAGGTAGAGCACTTGTCTAGCGAGCACAAGGCCCTGAGTTTAAGCCCCAGTACTGCCAAAAATTTTTAAATAAAAAAATAAAATAAAGAACTCAATACTAAAAGGACAAATTACTAAAAAGAGTACTTGCCTGGCAAGCACAAGGCCCTGAGTTAAATTCCTACCATTGTGGTTTTTTTAAAAAGGGGGTTGCATGGGATGGGGGGAAGGTACTTCAATCAATTTCTCCAGGGGAGATATACCAAATGGCCGGTAATCACAGGAGAAGAGGCTCAATGTCATTTGAAAAATGTAAATCAAAACCACAATGAGATATCACTTCAGATACAGTAGGATGGCTTAAATAAAAAAAGACATAATAATATTGACAAGCATGTGGGGAAATCAGAACCCTCATACGGTGCTGGCAGGAATGTAAAATGGTATAGCCACTTTGGGAAGACAGTGTGGCTCAAAAGAAATGAAAACATTTATCCATATAAAAATGTGTATACTCTTTTTCGTGGCACCTCCTGGGCAGGCAGCTGCACCAAGATGAAGCTAAATATCTCCTTCCTGGCTACTGGCTGTCATAAACTCATTGAAGTGGCCATAAGTGCAAACTCTGTACTTTCTATGAGAAGCAGATGGCCACCAATGTTGCTGCTGACACTCTGGGTGAAGAATGGAAGGGCTATGTGGTCCTCGTCAGTGATGGGAAGGACAAACAACGTTTTCCCATGAAGCAGGGTATCTTGACTCATGGCCAAGCTCACCTGCTACTGAGTAAGGGGCATTCCTGTTACAGACCAAGGAGAACAGGAGAGAGAAAGTGCAAATCTGTTCGGGGTTGCATTGTGGACGCCAACCTGAGTGTTCTCAACTTACTGTACCAAAAGGAGAGAAGAGTATCCCTGGACTGACAGACACTATTGTGCCTCGTCGTCGTCCGGGGCCCAAAAGAGCTAGCAGAATCTGCAAACTCTTCAATCTCTCTAGAGAAGATGATGTCTACCAATGTGTTGTTAGGAAGCCTTGAACACAGAAGGTAAGGAGCCCAGGACCAAAGCAGCTAAGATTCAGCATTTTGCTATTCCATGTGTCCTGCAACACAAATGCTGGTGTATTGCTCTGAAGAAACAACATACTAAGAAAATAAGGAAAAAGCTGCAGAAAATGCCAAACTTTTGGCCAACAGGATGAAGGAAGTCAGAAAAAAATGCCGGGAACAGATTGCAAAGAGAAGAAGCTGTCTTCTCTGAGAGCTTCTACTTCTGAGTCCAGTCAAAAATAAGAATCTTTAAGAATAACAAATAAATGATGAGATCTCAAAAAAAAAAAATGTACACGAGGTCTGTTGGAATGGTTCAAGTGGTAGAACACCTGCCTAGCAAATGTGAGGCCCTGAGTTCAAACCTCAATACTGACCCCAAAAATGTGTACGTGAATGTTCACAGTAGTATTACTTAAATTAGCCCCAAAGTAGAGACAACTCAAATGTCCATCAACTGATAAACAGATAAACAAAATGTGGTATATTCATATAGAGCCCTATAAAGAAATAAAGTTGGGATGCATTACACTGAGAAGCCAGGAAAACAATCACATAATCCATGAGTTCATTCATATGAAAGTCCAGGGTAGGGAGATCTATAGACAGAAAGTATGCTGTAGCTGCTTAGGGATGGGGGCTGGGAGTAGTGAAGAGGCAATAACAAGATAATGAAAGCATTCTAAAATAGACTGTGATGATGACTGCACATGTCTATAAATAAAATAAGAATGAGTGAGCTGTATTTTACATCTCAATGAGGTTATTAAAGATAAATAAAATGGCTGGGTGCTAGCCACTCACATCTATAATCCTAGCTACTTGGGAGGCTGAGATTGGGAGGATCGTGATTTGAGGTTAGCCTGGGCAAATAGGTCACGAAACCCCATCTCCAAAATAACCAGAGAAATAACCAGAGTAAAATAGACTGGAGGTGAGGCTCAAGCAGTAGAGTGCCTGCTTTGCAAAGCATGAAGCCCTGAGTTCAAACCCCAATCCCACAAAAAACAAACAAACAAAAAGCCTCCCTAAACATAGAACTACCATATGACCCAGCAATTGCCTTTCTGCGCATTCTTCCCAAAGCAAAGAAAAATTTGTGTTTAGACAAAAATTTATGCCCAAATGTTTATAATGGCTTTAATCCTAATCTCCACAAACTAGAAATGATTCAATGTCCCTCAACAGGTGAATGATTGAACAAATTACAGAAAATCTATACCACAAACACTACTCAAGAATAAAAGAAACAAACTGCTGATAGATGCAACAAGTTAGATAACTCTCCAGACAGTTATGAGGGATGAAAAATGTCAGTCCCAAAAGATTATACACTATATGCTTCCTTTATGTAGCATTCTTGAAATTATAAAATTATTGAAATGGAGAATACATTATACCTGCAAAGGGTTGAGAAGAAGATGATGTAAAAGGGAAGCAGCTGTGGCTACAAAAGGACAGCATTAGAGGTGCTGGTGGGGATAGAAACGATCTGTGTTTTGATTATATCATCGTCAAGCCTTGAAATTGAACCATAGTTTTGCAAAATATTACCATTGAGGGAAACTGAGCAGAGGATACAAGGGATCTTTGTATTATTTTTTAAACCATACTGTACTATACTTGAAGCCCTGGGTTCAATCCTAGGACCACAACAAACAAACAAAAAAGCAACAAAACAAAACAACAACAGCAACAACAAAACACCTGGAGGGAAAAGTATAAAATCCTTTAAGTTCAACCAATTCAGGATATAATACGTGGAAATATCATAATGAAACTCCCTGTATAGCTAGCTTAAGCAAACAAAACCGTCTTTTTCAAAAAATGGCGACATAAGGCTGGTGGAGTGGCTCAAGTGGTAGAGCTCCTGTCTAGCAAGCATGAGGCCCTGAGTTCAAACCCCAGTACCACCAAACATGGCAGGCAGGAAGGTAAAACAGGTCCTGTCTGGGGGGTTGGTACCAGTGGAAGAGGGGAAGATGTGAGGGAAGGGTGTAGGAGGGTGAATATAGTGGAAATATGTACACAATGTATGGAAATGGGAAAATGAGACCTGTTGAAATTATTCTAAGAACAGGGGGAGGCAGAATGATGTAGAGGGTGAATTTAACTTAAGATACATTGTAAATACTTTTGTAAATGTCACAATGTACCCCCCAGACAACAATAATATGATAAAAAATACCAATTCCAAGGGTAGAAGTATCTAAACAAATGTGGAATGCCTTTTCTTAATCTTTTTGCCTGACACTAAGACTACACATCGTTTAAGGTTTAACTCAAATATCACTTTTTTGGTGATGTCTTCTCCAAACTCTAGGAGTTTTCAAACTTCACTAATCATCAGAATCACCCTTGTCTCTGCCAAGACTTTAGTTTAAAAAGTGTGACTGTACAGCCTGTGGACTTCTGTTCCTAATTTCCCCAAATGCTAGTGCCGCTGGTTCACGTACGGTACCACACTCGTAGCATTGTATCTGTAGTTGTTTCCCACAAGACTGAGAACTCAACGGGAAATTCTCTCCAGCACTTAGTAGGCACTAAAAAAAAAAAATCTTACTCTTTTTTGCTTCTTTTTATCTGCTTCTTTCTGTAAATCCTGAAGGGCCCTTTGCACCAGTTTCAAGTTCAAGTCCTGCTCTTCTCTGTATTCCTGCTGAATGTGCTCCATCTTCTCTTGTAAGGCTTTCTGTAAAACGGTCCTAATTTCCTGCTTTGTCTTCTGTTTCTTTAGCTTATCTTGCTCATTCTCAAGTTTAATCTGTGCATTGTCTTGTTCCTAAAGTAAAGTAATAATGAAGACGATGACTTACTACGTTAGATAAATCAAATAAGTTAATGTATTTGCTGTAAAAGATGAGACTGGAATTCCTTAGAAATGTGCACGTACACACACACACACACACACACACACACACACACACACACACACATACACATACACTTTCTCATGGCTGAGTCAGCAGTAAAACTTTGTCAAAATTGCTGTGTGAGAGAAAGATTAAAAAGTAGTAAGTAGCTGGAGGTGTGGTTCTAGTGGCAGAGTGTCTGCCTTGCAAGCATGAAGCCCTGAGTTTAAAACCTACTACTGCCAAAAATAATAAAAAATACAGAATAAAAAAAATAACAAATGCTTGGGTCAGGGGTAACACCAGGACACAGGTTGTTTGTTTGTTTTTTTTTAAAGAAAAAAGTAAGAAGTAGTTGTGGAGTTTGAAAATGCAGAAAAGCATACAGACCTCACCTTTAATCCCAGTAGCCATCACCCACCACTTCTTTTAACATTTTGGTGCACTAGCTTTCCAGCTTTTACACTTCTAGGCACATCTGAACATATAGGTTTGGGTACATTATTATACAGCACAGAGTCCAAAAATGGAAATGTGCCCTGTAAACCAGCCCAGGCCCCCAGGAAAACTGCACAGTCCACAGGCCTGCAGAGAACACTAGGTCCACAGAGCCCAGCACCCCGTCACAAGCATTTGAAAAGGCCCACCACCAGGCGCGCCTCCTCTTCCTTCCGACGCTGGGCCTCCTGCCTTTGTGCGATGATGCTGGTGACCTGGGTGTCTAGCCCCAGGCGGGTGTTCTCCACCAGCTCTTTCTGTCTCCTCTTCTCTTGGGCTTCTCGCTTTTCCTTTGCTAAGCGGTCTTCCTCCCAGAGCCTGGCGAACATCTCCTCTTCAACCAGCTTTTGTCTCTTCAGCTCCTCATTGAATGCTATCTGGGCTTTCCGCTCCTCGGACACCGTCTTTTCATGGATGCAAACCAATTTAGTACGGAGCTCCTCGCAGTGTTCCCTGAAATGGGAATTTTTTAAAAAAGACAAATCCAGTTTTTGATGAGCCACTGCTCTATTTGGCACCTATCTGCATGATCATTTGCAGGAGTAAGAAAAGTCAAAGGCCTGCGTGTTGGTCACCTGTGCAGGGGAACCATGAGAGCATCAGGGAGGCAGGCTCCGGGAAGCTACTGCTAAGATTCAGACACTGGAGTCAGGCAGGGCAGGCTTTGAATCCTAGCTTTGTCAGATACTTTCTGATCTTGGATCAAAAATTCAATTTCTCTGGGCCTGTTTCCTCACCTGTAAAATAACTGCTTTTCAAGATTCTGGTGAGGATGAGGGATTAAAGATGTAAACACCTGGTAGATAACAGGAGCTCAATAAATGGTAACTGTTATATTACTGTAGTGGAAAACAGGAGCAATGGGTACCTGCAATATTCCAATGCATTAAGGATTGCTTGGACGAGAACCTGCGTGCACTTCCAAGGGCAATGTCAGTGGATCATGGGCCATGGGGTAGCTTCTCCAGTGCCCCTGCACTCCCAGCAGGACACATTCCTATGGAAGGGGTTCCTGCTCCAGTTGAGAACACAGCCATGTTGGTGCTGTCCAACTACTCCTTTACACCCAGGCTGATGCCACCATTCATGAAGTGCTCTTTCAACAACTGTTCAGAGACCCCATCCTTTTTTTCGATCATAAGTCTTTCAATTAAATGTCTTCAAGAGTTCACTGAGTCTGCTATGGTTTGGTTATGCTTTATCCCACACAGGTTTGCATGCTAGAAGGTTGGTCCCCAGGGTGGTGAGTTGGAAGGTGGTGGAACCTTTAAGAAGTAGGGCCCAGTGGGAGGTAACTAGGCCAGGGGGTCACCATCCTCAATGCTGTCTCCCAGTTATTATAAAAGAGTGATCCTGGCCCCTCCCCCATCTCTTCCTTCCTTGCTTGCATATGGGCCCCTTCTACACACAGCTGGTTCCCCTTCCAGTACTCCATCATGTTGTGACACAGCCACAATGTCCTGCTGGAATGGCATCACACTGTTAAGACCTTCCAATCACCATAACTGTGAGCCAAATGAACCTCTTTATTTTATAAGTTACAAAGTCTCAGGTTTTTTGTTATGGTGACACAAACCAGACTAAGATAGAGTCCATTTAAAGGACTGTGGTTCTTAATGCTGTCTGCACATTAGAATTATATAGGGATATTTTCAAAATTCCAATCCTTTCCTTCTTCCTTCTCCACCTTCTAGGCCAGATGAATGAAATTAGATATCTGGGGGTGGGACTCGGGCAACCTTATTTTTTTTTTTCAGAGCTCGCCAGGAAGTTCTGGTACGAAGCCAAGTTTCAATATCAATATGCTGATCAATATCAGGTCCTCCTGGTTTCTCAATCAAATGTAGCATCAGGAAGCTGAAGTTTGTGGAACAAGCTCAATGAACTTTTAAAGATATCTGAGTTGCTAAAACTGAAAGAAAGGATAGGACCTAAACTCATGGCAGTGGAAGACAAGCCCACACATCAGATATTGTGGAGTATTGTTTTCTATTTAATGAAGGTTAGTCTCATTCCTCTAACCAAACTCGAATCTCTTTAAGGGCTGGGACTTAGGAGTATCTCTCTCCCCTCCCCTTTTCTTCTCTCCTCTCCTCTTTCTTTTGAGATGGTATCTTGCTATGTAGCCCAGGCTGGCCTTGACTCCTCCTGCCTCACAATCCTCCTGCCTCAGCCTTCCAAGTGGGATGTGTCAAGTTCTTTGATTATGTATTCCATTTGGTAAAAAAAAAATTCTAAGCACCAACAAAAATATTATTTTGATTGTATTCCACTATTATTATATTATTAAATATATATAAATATAAAATCAAATAGAGAAGAGATAAAAATAAATATCAGATATCTTCCTCCTATACCTTAATAATTCATCTATTCACTTAACTTTGGGAAGTCCTTGGTTTAGGGATGCTTACTTTTATTAATAGATAGACAGCATATCTGTCTATTTTAAGTATAATAAGCACTGATAAGAAGAAAATTTGGTGGTTGTAAGTGCTTTACAGTTTACAAGTTAATCTCACACATAACATCTTATTTGATCCTCACAAATGCCTTACAATTTGGATGGAGCAGCAGGCATCATCCCATTTAGAGTTTAGAGCCTAGGTGTCTTTCTAAGCCATGTAGCTAGTTACTATTAACGACATTTAGCACAGTTATTGAGTGCTCATTATCCATCAGGCACCATTCTAATCACTTTACTATGTACAAACTCTTGCACTCGTGGTAACACCCAATGTTGCAATGAACATTACTGCAAGTTCATTTATATTATTATTATCTTTGGTTTACAGATGAGGAAGCACAGGCCTGAGAGAGCTTACATCTTATCTGAGTTCATGCATCTCAAATATGGTAGAGATGGAGCTGATGATCTGGAGGATAGCCCTGGAGTTTGGGTACTTATTGGATCACCTCGACAACTAGCCCAGGCAAGACTGCCCTCAAATGTCTGACCACATATCCTAGGCTATCTGTTTAATAAAAGCACCTGAAAACCAACCTCCAAAATGTCTACCTTAATTTGAAATCTAGTCATTAATTGTATAAAAACTGTAAGACATTTAAAAAGATGTTTCACAATGTTCCAAAAATATGATCCATAAAAGAAACATTGATAAACTGGAGTTCCTTAACATTTTTTTAAATTGGCTCTGTGCAGGCTGGTAGAAGTGACTCAAGTGGTAGAGTAGCTGCCTTGCAAGTGTAAGATCCTGAGTTCAAACCCCAGTACTGACAACAACAACAATAACAACCACCATTGGCTCTGTGAAAGAACTTCTTAAGAAGATAAAAAGACAAGCTACAAACTAGAAAACACATTTTTACAACCCACATATCTGACAAAGGACTCATATATAGAATACATAAAACTCTAAAACTTAACAGCTATAACATCAGCAATCTAATTAGAAAATGGGCAAAATATACAAAGAGACATTACAAGAGAGGATCATAGGATGGCAAAGCTGCTCAATATCACCAAACATCACGAAAATGCCAAGCTCGCTCACAATAAGATACGACTACATACCAGCTGTGCCTTCCACCATACCCACTCCTCACTGCAGGAGCTGACTTCTCTTGCTGCCTTCTAGTAGGAGAGATTAGGGCAGTCTGTGTCAAAGGCAACTTTATGGAGCTGCTACTAGTAACTGAGCGAGGAGATCTTCAAGGCTTTTCTCTGAACCATGTCTTGGTCTGTTTTTGCTGCTTTCTCATACCTGCTAACCTTTGGATTTCTGACCTACTTAAATTTTGAGTGCTATTAAAAATGAACTCTTGCATTCCCCAGTCTTTGACTTGGGGTCTACATTTACTCTAGACTATTTGTTCCCACATCCAGCTTAACATGATGCACACCCTTGCACCATGCATCCTCAGCGACCTGATGACCTAAGTGACGCCCATTTTTCTTAAGCCACAACAGCCTAGCACAAAGTAGGGGCTCAAAATATTTACTGAAGGAATGAATGCTAATGGCTATGTTTTAAACACTTTCAGCTAATACTCGAATTTTTCAATCCCTTCTGAAGATGAAATTCTTAACCTGTTACTCTGAAATGAAAGGACAGATGATGACAATGAAAAGTGGGTGGTCTGCAGCATTCCCCGGGTCACATCATGAGGCCAGCACTGCATTGAAATGAATGGAAAAAGGGGGCAAAAGGAGCAAACTAAACTGAGAACCACGATAGCAATTCTTAATGTTCACCCTCTTAGAAGTGCAAGGGGCACTAACAATATAAACGAGTTACACTGAAATTATAAATTAAACATATGTTCTTAATCCAGGAACTGTAAGGTACTGAGACTTTTCAGAATATCTTCACTGTAGAGGAAAAGAATCTCTCAGTGTGTGAAATCTCTTGATGATGTAATGCTCCAGATCACCTCAGAGGGTGAGCACATCCCTGAATCCTTCAGCATGGGGCTGAAATCAAGGTGTAGATTCAGGGTGTCCTAAGGTGGAAAAGCGATATGAAAGGGGATATGGAGGCGAATACAGGATGGGATTTAGTACAGTGAAGTCTAAGGGTCTACAAGCTGAGGGTCCCGGGGGTCTGGGTCAGGAAGTGGATCAGAAGACCAAGTGATCAGACCCTAAGGATCAGGACACCAGGTAAAGAAAAAGACTATGATAATAATAATAATAATAATAATAATAATAAAACCAACAGGAAATCGAGCACATATTCTGCACAGGGGGAGACCACAACAGTAGTGGGAGAGCCCAATTTTACTAAAGACTTCCTGGGGCATGCTTTAAAAGAACCTCCTGGCAACAGCAAGGTTGGGGTTCACAGCTAAAACTCAGTAACAAAATCTCACTTGGCACTTCCATTCTAACTGGGAGGCAAGTACAGAGCTCCGGAGCAGAATTTTCAAACAAACTCAGCACCTGTACTTTGAGTGATCTGTAATATAATTACCAAGACTCAAATGTACAATTACTGTGTATATCCACCTAAGGCTGTAATTTACTGTAAATTAGCATTCTAAATCTTTTAAAATATACCATACAGACTTCATATTCTGTTTGTTTTTCCAATTCCATTACCTGAATTGCTGGTCTAACTTTTCAGCCACAAAATCCTGTCTTTCTTTTTCTTTCTTCTCTTTTAATAATCTGGTTTTCTCTCTCATTTTATCCTTTTTCTCTTCAATGTTTTCTTCTTTCAATTGCATTTCAGAAAAATACTCATTCTCTTCTGATGCTAAAAGTACACGTAGCCTGAAACAAGTAGACAAAAAGACAAACACCATAAGAAAATTAGGATTGGAGGTGTGGCTAAAGTAGTGGAGTGTCTGCCTAGCAGACGAGAGGCCCTGAGTTCAAACCCCAGAACTCCAAAAAAGGAAAAAAAAAACCTCTCACGACATGTGCATTTTACTGTTTGTTAAACTCAATTTCAGAATTAATGTCTAATAAACTCTTGAGGAAAAGATCATTTTAGTTCTCCATAAAATAAGATACTGATCCGTGCTGCATTTTATTTGATTATTACAAATGAAATGTAAATCTTCAACAAAAGCAGTAAAATAGATTTTAATTAAAGGAACAAAATATAAAATGTTTTTGTTTCCCACCAAACCATAAGTTATCTCAAGTAAAAATATTAACAAGCAATAACTATTGATTTGAGTATGAAAAACTCAGCCATAATCTTAACTATACTTGATTTTTCAACAGGTCAATGTCAAATTGTAGTTTCCAGAGCTGGAGATGTAGCTCAGTGGTAGAGAGCTTGCCTAGCATGTGAGAGGCTTTGTTTTTATCCCCAGCACTGAAAGGAAAAAAAATGTGCTTTTTGGGGAATGTTTCATAGTCTGGGCCACCAGGTTTACAAGCCTTACTTATTTCGTCTTTCTTCAATGTTGATGATAAACCCTTGCATGGCATCCTTTACTCTTGCTCGAACAAGGCTTGAAAAACACTTGCGATCAATATGCTGGTCCCAGTCAACTTTCAGGCGATTCCGCTCATTTGACTTAATGGAAGCCAAGGTAGCATGATACTTCTGGTGTCTGTGTTGGATTTTTTCTAGCTGTTGCTCAGCCCCAAGGGTTTTGGGAGGCTTGGCTCTCTGAAAACAAAGCGCAACTATTGCTTATGATAGCCAAAAATCAAAAGTATGTCTTCAGTTAATCCTGACTTACATCAATAGTTAATATTAAATAAAATTGGGTATAAAAACTAATACATCCTGATACAACTGAAAATAGCTTAAGCACCTGAGGATTAACTCATTTGAATCTCTGAGTTTATACTTAAGATTCACCAAATCAGTCTCAAATACAGATGCTTCTTGTTTCATGATGGAGCTATATTCTGTTAAATCCATCATAAGTTGAAAATACTGTCAACCAAAAATACATTTAGTGTACCCAAACCTACCAAAAATCCTAGCTTGGCAACATAGTACACTGCACAGTGTCTGTTTTTCACCCTCATGATCCTGTGCCTGCCTGGGAGTTGTGGCTCAAGGCTCTGCCCAGTGTCTTAAGAGTGTCATACTGCATACTGCTAGGTCAGAAAAAGATCAAAATTCAAAGTGCAGTTTTTACTGGAGTATCATAAAGCAAAAAAAACAAATATTATGTTAGACTGGTGGAATGGCCCAAGTGGTAGAGTACCTACCTAGCAAGTGTGAGGCCCTGAGTTCAAACCCCAGTACTGCCCCCTCCAAAAACAATTCCTAAATTGAATCATTAGTTGGGGATTATCTGTATTTCTACAGTGTCCTTTGGGTAAAAGTAGATATAAAGTTAAAATTAAATCATGGCTCTAGAAATTTAGTCAACCAGAGATATGAGTGTGTGCCTAATGAGCTTCAAATAGGATAGACCTAGATAATACAATAATTATTTCCTGATCTTGATCTTACCACCCACTATCCCACATTGTTTCTCAGGGGTAGACACCATAGTTCCCACTATCAAAATATTTTCAATGAGAAGGGGCTACTATCTAAGTATATATGTAGTGAGTTGTGACAATGAAAAACTCTTTACTAAGAAGTAAATGAAAGGAGGGAGGGCAGAAGAAAAGGAAGGAAAAAACAACAAAAGCTGGAGGTAGAGCTTTATTCCTATTTCTATGGTTTCTAGAAGTTTGACTGTAAGGGCTGAGCTCTTGACATTCTGGGGTGGGCTCAATTTCTATAAATGTATTTTTATACAGATGTCCTCTTAAAACTTGGAAATACATGCACATTTTGAATACATATTAATACACTAAATGAAATCTTAGAGACTACCTTTTTCATAGCTGTATTTCTAGAATAATTCTACAACTGTCAAATCTCAATATTGATAAATGAGTGAATTGATTAATGAGTGAACAGATGTTTCTGGGTGGACTTGATATAATTTCCACATCTCCCGGTAACACCATGGAATCCATAGTCTTTGAACATTATGTTTTCAGTAGGAGTTTTATCCGGTCATCCTTGCAAGGGGGGTGGTGTTATGGGACTCTGGGATGCCAAGCTATAGTAATGAAACTCTAACTCATAAGGCATGGCGTTATTCCGGTAATTTACATTTACAACATCAGTGTCAGAATTATCAGAATGCTAAGCTTTGGTGTTTGTGACCAAAATCTTCAGGGGAAACAAAGCCAATATTTGATGGTAGGTTGATGAGAAGATGCAGGGCTTGGGATACACATATAGACACCAAGATACAGCTGAACAAGATGAGACAGGCTAGAGGGAGAGATGGGAGGGGACACAATATGTTAGGGAATATATCATGAGACGTAGATAATCCATACCAGATTTATTTGAAGCCTAGAGTCAGTTAATCAAACTATCATTCTTTAATATTTCTGGCACCTTGAACGTAGATTCTGTGACAGGCAAGCAGACTAGGGGAACTAACGCACCTTGGGCAAAATAAGAAGCAGGAACTCAGGCTCCTGGCAGACACATGGGCTGAGAACAGGAACTACACACCAAGGTCATCTAGAAGCAACTAGGCTCTGAGGTACATTTGGTCTGAAGAGAGGAAAGGGGGCAAAGGGTGGTAAAGCATGGCATAAGCAAAGGCTTGGGGAAAGCATCCTGTGTAGGATGTGTAGGTATGACCTGGAGTTCTCTGCAAGATGATGCCAATCCAGGCACAGTCTTAGTACTGCTAAAAATCCACACTGTTCAATAAAATACATATTGCAAAAGATACATAATTTTACACTTTCTACTAGCTGCATTGAAAAAGTGAAAAGAAACAGGAAATTAATTTTGATGATGTGTATTTTATTTAACCATTATACCCAAAATACCATTTCAGCATGTGGTTCCACACACATCTGAAGTGGTCGAAAGCCACGTGTGGCCAACGGCTGCCATGTTGGACCGTGAAGCTCTGAATCACACTAAAGTGCGACAACACAGGATTTACCAACAACCCTGTATCACTGAAGGATTGTGTTACTCTAACATCTCAGATTGTAGTTTCCAGGAGTATAATGCCTAAAGAACAATGCCTTCATCCAGTTGATTCTTGCTTCTACCCATTAGAAGTTACCAGTTTACTTGTTGAGCAAGTAACTTAATCTGAGTCTCAGTTTTCACATCTGTCAAATAAGAAAAATATCCTCCCAATGGGCACTCATACTGTATTTTTTTATTGCTTTTATAGTTTAAAGTTCAAGTATCACCTCTTGGTAGCTTTAACTCTTCCCCAAACACAACTCTGTCACCCCTATCTCTACATTTCTTATCACACTCAGATAACTGAGAAGCAGATGCACCAACTCTGACCTATTCTTTTTCCTCCTAATTCTTCTATAAGCACAAAGTATTCAATAGGCCTGCTTCTGTGTTTTGGTGGTAGATTTTTCTTCCTGTTCCTTATTGCTTTCCAACATAAGCAAGAGAGCCAAACAAATGGCCTAGCCCTCAGTGCTGCATTTGGATACAGGACCCCAAAGTAGATCAGTTTCTGTCCCTCATGAAGTCCATCTGGGATTATCACCTTGAGCCCTAAAAATTCCATAGAATCTTCCAATCTATTGCTTTCCAACTCCAGATCCTGCAGTACTTGGGCAGGGAAGAGAGGAAGCAGGTCTGTAGGTTGACTGAAATTTGCTATGTGCACTATGGAGCATAACACAACTGTGTCCTTGACTCTCTATTCCTGATCTTTCTTCCATAACCTGCCATTACAGAGCATATAGACTGTTATCCACTTTAACAGTTTATGTATGAGTAAGGTGTTTCTTTTTTTTTTCCTTTATTCATATGTGCATACAATGATTGGGTCATTACTCCCCCCTTCCCCTTTCCCTCTCCCTTTCCCCTCACTCCCTCGCTTCCAAGCAGATACAGTAAGTTGTTCCTTAAACCAGAGGAAAAGCTCCTTAAAGGCAGATATCAGGCTTCCAATGACTGGGAAACCTCCTAGAGTCACTGGACTCACCCCGGTATCTTCCACAGTGCCATGCACACAGCAATGGCTTAAGCAATAACTATGTAATTGCCTGATTACATGTGATAGGTTTTCTGGTCTGTAGAAACTAGTTCATAGGAACAAAGGAATCCAGATACAAGATCCAGTAGTGTCTGGGATTCTCAGCAAGATGCATCAGATGCTGCAGCAAACAGCATTCCTGTGGCTTATTACCACCCCAGCCTCGGAGGCAACCACCAGGTGTATATATCCAGGTCTGCGGGTACGCTTCTGCCCAGCACTGGTTACTCCTTGAGTTGGCTTAGTTAAGAAAGCTGCTATATCCACACACACCTGCTCAATTCCCCTTGTTTAGACAATTTTCCTAGGGGCGTAGGAGAGGCACAAGTGCTGAACCAGGGACCAGCGCAGATCCCAGATATGCTCCCCACCACATGCAGGCCACCCCCATTGCAAGGGTCAGACCTCTTTCAGGTAGCTTGGAGATTCAAAATAAATAAATAAATAAAATAAAAACAGGTTCTTAGTACTTATTGTAACTGGAGGTCGGGAGGGAGAGGGAGAGGAAAAGGATGGTAAGGACTGAGTGGGTGAAGGAAGGATAGAAATGTGAGCGACCTCGTCTCTCCTTTCAAAATTCAACCTACTGCACCAGGAACCGTTCCCCTAGGAAAATTCCCGAAGCTAAGTTGGTCTCGGCTAGGCTGGAGAGAGCAGGGAAATGAAGAAACGGTTCGGCACACATCCTGCGCTTACCATGAGCACCACCTTGGGAGTGGGACCCCTAACCTCCCGCTGTACGATGCCAAATCGCTGGCTGTGCATTTTCGATTGTCCTGGGGATGAGGCAGCGGGAACCACAGCTACCTGTGGGGCCCGCTTCTCCTAGAAATGTCTGGTTGCCAAGGTGCGCCTCTCGCGTGATGAGGGTTGTGGAGGTGGGCGGAAGTCGTCCTGTTGCCATGGGAACACAGACGCCGCAGGCCCTAGAGACTTCCTCTTGCAGGGGAGGAGCTGAGTCTGCGCGTCATTACCCCGCCCATCACTCGCCCCAGGCCAGACCAACACTCGGTGGCCAAGCTCCCTTCCTTCAGGGTTCAGCAGAATGGCAGAAAAAAACACCTCTTCAAGGCCTAAATACAATTCCAGCTGGCTTTGCTATTTATAACCTGTAATGGGTCTCAGAGCATGAAGTTAGTACTGAAAATTTTATGGGAAGGTTAAATTCTGAACGACCTGTAAGTTACTCTTGATGATGGCAATAATAATCACAGGACAACCTTATACTTGTGTAGTTCTTTACAGCTTGCAAGGTATTTTCAGATTCAGCCTTTAAGCCTGACAAATATCTTACAGGATTGATGGAACTGCAGGAATTATCCTTATTTTACAGCATAGTTAAGGCTCAGGGAGCCTAAGTGCTTTATCAAATCACCCAACCATAACGTCAATAAAAATCTTCCTATAGCACTGGGCAGAAACCAGGGCTCAGACTTAGGGCTCTCTAGTAAGAATGCAGATCAAATGGACTGGTGGATCAGTAGTGGGATCTGGCTGAGCAAACGACCGCGTTTGAGTCAACCAGTCACAGTAGGCCAAGTAGTCAGTTCCTGAGAATCAGGATCCCAGGCAAGAGGGCTGGGAACATAAATCAGGGAACCAGACAGGCCTTTATCACAGATGGGAACCACAGTTGTGTTTCTTAGCAAGAGTTAGATGGTAGTTATACCTAAAAGCCAATTAGGAATGTCACTTTGGTGCTCCCATTCTAAAGTGGAGGTGAGCATAGACCGCTACAGTACAGGAAAAAAACAAGTAACTGTCAGTCATGACATTCTAATGACCAAAGTACAAATAATGTGGACACCCTCTAAAGGCCATGGATTACTATAAAATGGCATTCCTTAATCATTTGTAATCCACACACTTCAGATTTTCTATGTGGTATGTTTTTAGTTTTGGAATCCATTTCCTGAATTGCTGGTTCAGCTTTTCAGTCACAAAATAATGTCTTCTTTTAATAATCCCTTTTAATAACTTTTTTTTCTCCTATATCACTTCTTTCAACTGCAGTTCAGTAAAATACTCATTTTCATTTACTGCTAAAAGTTTACGTAGCCTGAAACAAACAAAAAAGAAAGAAATTAGGAGGTTGTCTGGGTTCTCTGGACCATGACCTGAAAGGGTCTTTGTGTCTCTTGGGCACTGGCCCATGAGACAGAACACTTAGGGGAGAAGGGAGGCAATGGAAACACAGCAGTTGGCCAAAGGCCATTGAGATTTGGGGGCTCCCCACCCACAACCCCATTTGTACAGCCAAGAGGATCCTGTTGGAGGACTCACAAAGGCCACAGGAAAGCTGACCCATGTGGTACAGTCAGTGGGCTGCAATCCAACGTCGGTCCCAAGCTCATCTTGCAGAGCATTCACTCTAGGCAAGTCTGGTAATTCAATTCTGGTTCAGCTTTGCCAGTTTCACCACTCTTTGGGAGAGTAGTTGGCTTCCATTGGGCCCTGCCCAGGACAGACGTGCCAGCCATGCAGAGGCCCCGCTCCAGGGGCAGTGACTCTTGGCCACTGGATTCTGTCACTGTCAGATCCACAGGTCCTCTCGCAGCCGTGCATCACCTGGCTGGCCTTTGCTGGGGGGAGGGGGATTTGGGAGAGGGGGGAAGCCGAAGGGCTGGGCAGATGGTGAGTACCACCAGCCTCTGCCACTGGTGGTGGGTGTTTGCTTTCAGCCATCCCCCCTGAGGCCTAGAAGTGATGTGCCCCAATCCTTAAATGACCTTCATACTGCCACCCACTGTCCAAGTTTCTCCCAGCACCACCAAGACGTTCCCCAAAGAAACACTAAGCATACAAACCAGTATATGGGACAATAAAAATTGTTTAAAAATAATTTTAAAATAGAACAGCTTAGAGATAGAAATTGTTTAAATTATTTCCAATGCCTATTGTGTCCCAACAAGGTTCACACAAGGACTGGCTTCCCCAGTTTCCTGGATTATATATTTTTAGCATTAAGGTCCATGATAAATTTGAGGATCCATTCACCGCTTGTAACACATATTGATGCACTTAATAAAATTGGGTGGACCACACCTTTTTCATTTCTGTATCCAGGTATTAAGTACAGTACCAGATTAAGTACGGGTCAGGTTCTCAATACTTGAATGAATGACACAAAAATAGCAGAGACTACCAAGTTTGTTCTAGGAGGCTTTACAGAATTTCTGTACTTGCTGGAGTCAACACGAAATCCATGGTCTTCAGCTTTGTATTTTCAGCAATGTGATTTTATCAAGTTATCCTCAGGTGAGTAGTGAGACTCTTTGGAGCTGATTCGCCTTGGCTAGGCTATGCTTCCTGGAACTCCCTTCCCCTGTATGCTTCTGTTCAGACATGTTGCCTGATACTCAAGGGCAGAAGAGAAGTTGCAGCATATTTACACTTAGAAGGTTGGTGCAGTGGCACCAGGCACTGCTGCAGTTCATGCATGCTGTCATTTATCTGCTGGCTTACCTCATTGGTGTGGGGCAGCAGCCAGGCCTGCAGCTGCTCTACTTTCCCTATGATCTTCCTTCAGCTTCTCTAATCCTGGGCTAGATGCATATTTAACTCTGTGAGGAAGGGTACCAACTTCTGTAGGACACCCGCATCATCAAAGCTGGAGGTGGTGAGAAACTTGACATAGGTTCCAGGCCATCCTTATGGGTCCTATCTCCTGCTCGTGGGCTTCAATGTATCCTGGCTCTCCCATACTTTACATCCATCTTCCCTTCCTAGTTGCCTGCCCTGCAGACTTCAGGCTCTGGCAATAGATGCAAAACCGACAGCCTTACAAGAGACTGTCAACCAGGTCAAACAATTACATAAGGTCAAATCCTTCTTAAAATATACATATACACCATCTTTGTCTTAGTGGTTCTGCTCTTCGGACTGTACCATAATTAAAACATATAGTAATCGGACTCTTCGCTCATAAGTCAAAGTGCCAATTAATCACATGTCTTTTAGAACACCACTATCAGAATTATCAGAATCCTAGGGCTGGGTGATTGGATCCCAGGGGGAACAAAGCAGTATAAGATTATCCAGTCTTGGCCAGGGCAGAACTAGGTAAAGCAGGACAAAGGAAGAGGAGAGGAGGGTAGCAGAAAGCTGACTCTTATGAGTTAGAAATAGGAGATGACCCAGCACTTGGAAGGCAGAGGCAGGAGGATCAATAGTTCAAGACTACCCAGGGCTACAAAGTGAGTTCAAGGACAGCCTGGTCTACAAACCAAGATGCTGTCTCAAAAAAATAAGGAGAGAAATGAAAAGTGATTGATCCATATGTGAATTACCTATAGCTGCAAGACTATGACTATGGTAAGGCAAAGGAGGCATAAAGGATATAAAATTTAAGGAGGCACTCACTCAGCCCTGGCTCACTAAAGCTGGCTAAGTAACAAATTACATGTCTTTTTGGCATTTAATGAAGCATGGAGAGTGAGGTAAGGCTGAGCCAACACTGGTCCTGGGCAAGACATGAAGCAGGAATTCAGCCTCCTAGACATTCAGGCTGAGGGCAGGAACCAAGCACAATGGTCATTAGAGGGCAGGAGATGTTCATTGTTAGGAAAGATGGGACAGGTGGGAGCTTTAGTTCCAAACACTGCTCTGGCTGAGGTGAGGAAGTCAAGGTAAAGTAAAACAGAGAGCAGCCAATGGGGAGGGATACCCTTTAGGGCTGAAGAATCCTATGTAGGATCCTGGGGCTGCAGAGACCCCAGTTTCTGGATGATCAGATGCTCTGACAAGGTGAGCCCATCCAAATACAGCTTAGCACTCCCTACACCATGCTAGAGGCAAGAGTATAAAAGATTTATTATGATGTTTATAGTAATCCACTGTGTATTTTCAAATCCACTAAAAAACTGTTACTACAATATTATACATTATTGCACATAGGATTGCAGTTAACAGTTTAGTGGTTTAAAGAACAAAGCTTTTTACACCATGGGTATAATTCTAGGCTCTACCAACACTAGCTGTTTGACACTGGGAAAGTGAATCTCTTTTGAGTCTCAATTTTCCAACCTGCAAAAGTGCACAAAATCAATGTCTTCCTAAAGACTGGTTTTTGATGATTAACTAAATTGGGTCCACAGGAGAAGCTCACCCAACAGCAGTTCCTTTCCTTTCCTGCTTTATTCACATTGCATTTTCAGCCGCTGTCTCCCTGAGAAAATGTTTATAGACACTGCAGGTCCCGTCCAGAAGCCACTTCAAATCACTGAAGGTGGCTTGTTTAGGTTGTCTGTGGTGGCTTGAATTACATCCCCTTCCTCACCCCAGCTCCCCCTCCCACACATCCAACTTCTCATCACGCTCAGGCTCTTGGGCGGAGCAGACGCACCAGCTTGTATTCTGACTTCCTCTTCCTTTTCGGCTTGCTGCCTCTAAGCTCCAAGTACTGAGTGGGCCTGCTCCTCGGATGTGCTGGGAGGTTTTCCTCCAAGAGTTGATTGACACACAAGCCCTGCAACCAGTCTACCGCCCAGCCCCTAGTAGATCAGGGTTGTCTCTCAGAGCCGCTCTGCAAATATCACCTTGAGTTCTACAGTCTGCAGAAGCCTCCAGTCTACTGCTTTCTAGCTCCAGGATTTTTAAGGTCCTTGGACCTAGAGAAGAGGGAGCAGGGCTGTATGTTGAATGAGGTTTACAGTGTGCCAAATGGAGCATCCCAAACCATTTCCTACTGTTCTGTGTCCTCTACCCATTTCCCCTTAATTATCCTGTATTTCTTTTCCTTTTTCTACAACTACCACTGCAGCTAGCACAGCACCTTCCCTGGTAAGCATGGAATACACAGGGTATTGAGAAGTTTCCTGTGGGTGGGGATCTTGTGTGTCCTGAAGGACAAGGCTTACAGGACTTAAGTGCAGTTGCCAATGCACCCCCTGCATCTAACAAGGGCTCAGTCATCAACCAGGCTCTGATGGAGGGGTTTCTGGCCTGTTGGAACTGGTTTGTAGGAACAAGGGAAGCCAGGTGTTTGGGCCAATAGTTTGTGTTTCCTGTGTCTGGGGCTCTGTGCAGGGCCTTTGAACCTCCTGCAGGAGGCAGCATTGCCCTGTCCTCTGACATCCCAGTCTTTATAGGCATCTGCCCTTTGTCTTATTGCCAGACCTACAGAGACAATTCTACACAGTACCTAAGACAGCTACTAATGTCAACAGTACAGGCTGGAGACCCAACCTAACTTCCTCTAACAGAAGCTGCTTTGGGAGGTAGAGGATAAGCCAGAGGTCATATAGCCGAATGTAGGCTGAACTCACAGAACCAGCAAAGGATCTAGACCCCCTGCCCACCCTACCACCTGGGCCAGCCCAACACCATGTCTGTGATACACATTCTTTCCATCATCAGGGGCCAGCCTATTCAGGGGTCTCTTAGGGACTCCAAAGGTTTTCACATCATCATGTGGGATCTCTGAATAAGAGTTTATATATTAAGTCTGAGCCTTATAGGATTTTCTTAGGGAAGTGAGAATAAGATTCTCCTTATCTTTGTTTTTCTTTCAAATCTTATCACAGAGCATCAGGTCTTCTCTCACTTTCCCCAAAGGGGAATGCTATTGGCTTGGGTTTCAAGAGAAATCTCTAGGGTGACACACCCTTCCTCCCTGGTCTTTCAAAACTCAGGGCCCATATTTGGCCAGCACCCACCACATTCCCACCCCTCACTGTATGGGGCACACCTTGGCAACCAGACCGCTGTGTCCCGGAAGCGGGTTCCACCCAGGCTGAAAATCTCCGTGATCTAGGGAAGAATTAACATCATAGGTCAGCATGGCTGGAGGAGCTCAGGCAAGATCAGGGCAGGGTGGGCATCCCCCAGCACTGACCACAGGAGTGCCAGGCCCTCCTGCCTCCTCCTCTGGGGCTGATTCAGAGACATAATCATTCTTGTTCTCTTCCTCAGGGTCAAGTGGCTCTTGTTTCACAGGTAGCAGGCCCGAGTCTACTGCCTGGGAGAAGTGGAGAAGGGCAGCAGTTACAAGGACAGGGTTGACCTGAGGAAAGTCTGTCTTAGCCAACCCACCACTGTGGTAATAGATCCCACTTCCTTCCCTAAGAAATGCCATCTCTGCCTATAAACCTTTCCCACTCCTTACTCATCTCCACTTTCCTTTCCGCTGGGCAGTAAAGAAAGCAAAGCTAGCTGCCTATGAGGAATAAGGTGCCTATCAGACAACAGGATAATTCTGCTGAATGGCCACAATCAGCACACCTATTGCTCTGCTCACAGCACCACCAACATGGCTCATCATCACTTTGCTTACAAATCATGCCATTATGGCACCAACAGGATACCCTTCACTGCCCCCACCTTGTTAGGGCAGCTAAGCTGTAACGTGGAAGAAGTTGGGTTGGCTGTGCCCAGTGTCCACTCTTCTTGGGCATCCACTTTTTCTTGCTTCACCTGAGGTAAGGCCACAACCAAACTCAGGCCAGAGCACTGGGCCTCCTGCAGGAGGGAGGATGGCAACAGACTTGGTTTCAGTCACTTGACATAAGGCTGGGTGGGGCTGGAAAGGTCAGGAAAAGATGGAGCCCTCACCTGTAACAGGTTTTTTGTGGAAGCTGCAGCAGGACCTGGCACCTGCACAGGACTGCTGGCGCCCTCCCGTAAAAACACAAGGTCAGTGCCAGGTGGGGGTAACACAAAGCCGCCACCTGCTTCCTGCTTCATTGGAGAATGGGCACAGCCTGGTCGGGCTTTGCGCATAGCCAAAGGTGGCTTTACTGTGGGGCCCAGGTGGGTCTGTGGAGAACTGGGCTTCTTTCGACGAGAGCAAAGTGGGGGTGATTCTGCTCCCTCTTCAGACCCTGATCCAATACTGGGCAGCAACCGCTTCTGTGAGGAGAGATGGGGTGCTATGGCCACCTGGTGCCATGACCTACCACACCCACCCTGCCCTGCAAAACATGCCTAACTTCCCATTAGTCCCAGCAGAGTCTATTTACACATGAGTCCTCATCACTGAGCCTGCTAGTCTCCCATTACAATGGAAGTGCCAGCTGAATTCCTTTACCCCGTGTTTGCTAATCCTTGGCCAGAGCCACTACACTGCCCACCCACCTACCAGGCCTGCCCACTGCTCCCAGGCACTGGGAGGCCTGGCCCAACCTATCCCATCCACCTAACCCTTCCTGCCCCACCCACCATGGCAAACTGCAGGCACTGGCGCCAACGACACTTCTGGCGCTTCTGGTTGCTGCCCCCGAATTTGGGCTTGTCGCAGCAGAAGTCACAGCGGCCACAGTCCATCCGCCGTAGGCAGGCTGCACAGGCCCCGCACTTGCGGTTCTGCCGGCGGTTCGTGTAGGGCTGCTGGGGTGGGGGGGAATGGTGCTGCTGTCACTAGGACTAGGAGAGGCCAACTTCAATGCCCATTCCAGTGCCGTGCCTGGTTCTCCTCTAGCTTCATGGAGGTGGGGGAGCTAGCTGTACTCATTGGTCTCAGCCTTTTAACTCTCCACTCACCACACCTTCACTTCTGTTACTTTAAAAATTAGCCATCATTGTGCCAACTGGCCCTTGACACCATTGGGACTGTGCCTGCTCCATCACAGTATCATCACAGCACCTGCTGCTATGCCACTAGCTACCAAGACAATGTCTCTGATTCTACTTCCATCAGGATTGTGTTGACCTTTTATCAACTCTCATCATTGTGCCAGCTGTGTTTACTCGTCCTATGTGAACCTCAGTCAGTGTGTTCCCTAATCAGCCCCACTGGTAGATCTGCTAGACCTGTTAGCCACAAGTGTTGGTTCATCTGACATTAAGCACTGTCACTGCACCTGCTGATCCCGTATTCTTCCTTTTCTCATTATTACTCATCCCATCATACTGTCCATTACTGTGCCTTGCTGCTCCCCTATTCGACGCAGTATAGAATTTGCTTCTTTGGAGTTCAACAAGCATAGGGAGAGTCTAGGTTTGTTCAGGCACTCACTAGCTCATCCTCGTCTACACAGTAGTAGACGAACTCAGCAGGTGATGAGGGCTCTGGGGCGCTGGTGTGCTGTAGAGGCAAATGGCGAGGGGTCAGGGGCAGGTACCGGTGAAGTTAGGGGTGTGCCTTCCCCCTGCCCACCAAGTCCTTACCAGCTCTGTAGGCTTTGGGGACTGTGGTGCAGGAAGTGGAGGCAGTGGCTGAGCTTGGGAGTGCTGCTGGGCAGCCGTCTTGGAGTCGCAGCCTCCCCTGCGACGGCTACGTTTACCCTGACAGAGAGTAGAAAGAGTAGTTAGGGCTTGGTGAACCAGGCAGACACAGGACCCCCAAGAAGTGCAGAAAGCATGCATGGGACAGTCAGGGAATATGCAGTAGGGCACTCACAGCAGGGGGAACCACAACCAGGGGAGGGCACCGCTGACATCCTTGACGGTGGCGATGGAGGCGGTGAGCAAGGTGCTGGCAGAGAAAGGTGGGGCCAGGGAGGTAAGCACAGGTGGAAGAGAAAAGATAACATGAGGTGGGCAAGGTCAGATTGGGAGGAAGCGACAGCAGCAGTGGAAGCAACTTTTAACAGCAGAATGGGCTCTGGCCCAGCCTTGGACATGGCAGCGCTGGCCCCTCCAGCCTGACTCACCCGAAGGCAGCGCCGCTGCACACACCTCCACTGGCGCCTGAGACCAGGGCGGGGAGGGCGAAGGCAGACTCGGCAACGGCCACAGTCCTCGTGGGTCTGACAGCCCCGGCACACTCCACACCCTCGGCTCTGTGGGGGGCCGGAGGCGTGATGCATGGGGTCAAGGCCATGAGGGCCAGGGATTGAGGTGAGCCTTGGGCCCACCCTATCTGCCTGACTCACCCTCTCCACAATCCGGAGACAGCGCCTCTGTTCACACTTGCAGAAAAGCCCTGAGGCCACATCATGGGGCAGTTGGAGGAGGCAAGTGGAGCAGGCCCCACAGTCTTCTGTTACAAGGCAGGCCGCACACTCTCCACAGCCAACACGCTGCCGGAAATGGGAAAGGGGCAGGGGGTCAGGTCAAGGGCCAGGTAAGGTGGCTGCAGGACAACTGCTCCTCCTGTCTTCTGACCCAACTTCAGCTCCCATCAGCATGTCTAGTAGTTCCCCATTAGCCTCACCACTGTATCTAATAATCACTGCCAACAGCGAGGCCACCGCTCCGACGACTGGCTCCATTAAATCCATCACTGATGGCTGCCCTGGTAATTCTCATCACTACTAACCAACCCATGGCCAAGCCCCTTTAAAAGGATTCTCAAACCCTGTGGACCTATCACCAATCATTCAGACCCTCCACCAACTCCACCATATCCAGTGCCCACAGCAGGGCTGTGAGAAGCACACTGTTCTTACCTTAAACATCCTCTGCTCCCGATTGAAGGCAATCCTCTGTGCTGGGGGAGGAAGAAGGCCAGAGAGAAGTGGAAAGGGAGACAAGAAACTTGGCTTCAGCCACTGCCTGGACCCTGACTTCCACTATTCAACCTCCATCCATGCCAGTAGCCTTGATCCTAACATCCACCATTTCCAGTTTGGCCTGATGTTTGACCTACCCTGCCTCCTATCTTTTGAAGCCCCATCCCCTAAGGGGCCACTCACCTCGGCAGTCCTTGCACAATGTCTTAAGCCGCTGCCTTCTAGTCCCATCCCCTGAGAAGCTGATTCCACAGTTCTCACAGCACCTGGGATAGGAAAGACAGGTGTGGGGTCTTAACAGCACCCCCAATCACAAGCCTTGGCCAGCTGGTTGACCTTTAGCCAACACTTACCCAGGAGCAGGGAACGAAGCTGGTGTTTTGTCAGTGTCAGCCTTGGTTTCATCCTTTGGGGTCTCCTTCCTGACCTCACTCTTTTGGGGTCCAACCTGACGTTTCTGAGACTTGGCTGACTTTGAAGGTTTCTTTCGCTTCTTGCTAGGGACAGCCACAGAATGGGTCTGAAGATATGAGGGCAGGAACAATGTAGGTCAGTACGTAGGTCGGTATCAAGTGGCAGAGACACCCCTGCTTGGGCACCCGCATCATGAAGTACCTTGGGGGATGGATAGCACAAGACGCCTTGTTTGAAGTCGAAGAGTGTGAGGTCACATGCAGGGCCCAGGTACCGGGTCAACTCAACTTTGCTCCGAATCCTGTCTCCTGTGGGGCTGGGGATGGGCCAGGATAAGCTGATACCCAGGTGGAGAAAATGCCATTACATCCATACAACACTCTCACAGGGATATAGGAGGCAGTTTGGAATCAGCCTGTAAGTCCTACCCAGGTCCTACCCCAACTAACCCTGAGTAACAGGGATATAAAATATGAATGTAAGTACCAGCATGCATACAAACATTAATAAGTAATACAGTTATGAGTCACATAATGACATCTCAGTCCATAACATCATATATCCTATAATGGATCCAAAAAATTATAGTAGTGCTGAAAAATTCTGTTGCCTATTGACACAGTCATTACTCAAGCATTTATGGTGATGCTGGTGTAAACAAGCCTATTGATCTGCCAGTCACTCTTTTAGAGTGTATTCCTTCTATTTACGCATCTAAAAAAAAAAAGTTTACTGTAACACAATATACAACATTGGCCAGCAGCTGCCTCATACATCTCATGCTTACTCCATCTACTGATTCCATCATTTTTTCTTGTGACTGATTTCATTTTGTCTTGCTTTGTTCGGCACAGTCCTAAGAGCAGTAGGCCATAGCATATACGTACGGTTATGTGCCCTGTAATAACGTTCTGGTCAATGATGAAATGCATATATGATGGGGTCCCTTCAGCTTATATTGCCTAGCAACATCATAGCTGTCCCAGTTTGTATAAGTACATTCTACTATGTTCAAATGATGAAACAGCCTAAAAATATGTTTCTCAGAATGTATCCCCATGCATTAAGCAGTGCATGACTGTACCACTTAAGTCCAGATGTGTAGTAGGTTATACCATCTAGGTTTGTGTAACTGTACTATATGTTTGCATGACAAAATCGCCGAATGATGCATTTCTCAGAATGTATTTGTCATTAAGTGATGCATAACTGTATAAATATAAACAAACATAAACATATTTACAACACATAACACTAGTGTTATTGAAACACTTTATGTAAGTAAAAAACCAACACATGTAAGAACATACCATATTAAATAACATGTAAACATATTACGTATCAAACACATAATCAAGAAGACTTGCAAAAGAAAAGATTAAAAGACATAAAAAATGCATGTATATACAATATAAAGTATAAGTAGTTGATGCTGGGAGATAATACTCTGAGGGTCTCTTCATTTCTATACATCTTATAAGAGAGGCATTTCATTGTCCACTGTAACAAACTATCTACTTAAGAATGTTTGTAAAGCAAATAACCTGAGAAGATACAAGCAAAGGGAAAGCATACTTATTGTCCTAATACTATCAAAGATTTGATTCTCTAAGTGTAGGGCTGCTTTCCTAGAATACAACCCACTGTACATGTAGTACATAAGCTATTTAACCCTGAATTGGGATTTAGGGAATTGTCACAAAATGCGACATTCTGGATCCCGCTACTGCTGTAATAGATTGTTTTTCCTCTCTGACCCAGGAGTCTCAAACTTTCTACCAGCATTTACAAAACTTTAACAGACTCACTTATTATCCAATCCTAACTAGGGTAAAATCTCAGATCCCTTATAACTCTTGACAATTATAACCTTTGAAAATCCTATACACATTATGTAAATATTCTAACTACACATAAATAAAAAGTAGTTGTATTTGTGATCTCTCTAGGGAAATGGTAACTTAGATACAAAAACATAAAAAAATACAGGAAGAGTGTAGAAAGTATAATAATTATATCACTAATACATTCTAGCACATGCATTTATAAACATCTGTTTATGTATTCATAGTCAATTCTCATTATTCAGGGGAGTTAAATTAGGAATTACTGTTCCCAGAGGATATAAAATACAAGGTTAGTTTCAGCAAGCCTCTGGTCACATTTTCAGCAACTCATCAATGCACAGTCTTGTTTTATGCACTTCCATCTAGAGACAGCTTACTTAATATACAGTTCTTTCAAATGATTCCAGGGTCTCTGAGTGATTCAAAGCCAGGGGGCTGTTTTAGTCATATAGGTTTGTCTGTTAACGTTCTCATCAAACAATTCAGTCTCATTGGCATTAAAAACTTACTATCCCATATAATCTTTCTTCCTGTGTAACACTTGGCAAATATTTTACAGAGTTTTTCCACAGACTCTTCATCTGTAGAACCTGCACTGCATGTGAGTTTACATTTTTCATGCCCTATCACCTTGTGAAATATGAAAGCTAGCCAGAACTAGCGGAGGTGGATTTATATTTTCCTAATGCTCGGTAACAGGTCTTTGGCTTTCTTTATAACAATGCTGTCCACTATGATTTACTGGCTATCATTTCATGGATCCACAAATTTAGCTGCTTTCCCATCTTTCCTGTAGCTTCATCAAAAGTAACAAATGTTACTTTTTGTACTTCCTGGAGCCACCTCATGCACATATTGGCAAGTTTCTTCTTTTTTCTTTTTGTATTTTTGATTTGTAACATTGAACTCACAGCTAACAGCATTGTAATTCATGCCCGAACGAAGTTATCTGACATGTATTTTCTCCGTAAGGCACGTCACAGCCTTCTTGCACTTAGAACACTAGATGACACTTGAGCACTACATTTGGGGGTCATTAAAAAACAGCAAAATCACCAACAAAAAAGAGCAAGAAAATGAGAAAAATGTGGCATAAAAATGACCACAAAAAAGATGCTTGTTTACAGTACGAAAGCTGGAACAAAAAAGCCTTGTTTAACTTTGGCTGGGAACGCATGTGCTGGGCCACTCAAATTTTCCCTGCTCTGTGCGCATCTGCAAATAACCACGAATGTGCTATGAGTATGGACTTTGATCAAATAAATTTTAATAAGTGAATTTGCAAACACAAAATCTTCAATAATGAGGGTTGACTATATGCATAATTTTAACTCCATCCATAAATTTAACTACACCCTCTTTCACCCTAACCACTAACCAGGCTCAACCCCACCTGATTCTGCCCACAACCCACCCAGTACCTCTGGTAATAGGTGTCTGAGCGTCCACAGGTGGCCCCTGACTTGCGAAAGACCTCACGTCGCTTCCACCCTGGGCCCAGGGCTGGGCAGTCCAGCCAGTCCTCAGCCATGGGGGCTTTGGGAAGAAGCAGCACCCTGCAAAGTGGGGGGAGGTGAGGGGGAGAGGGTGGAAGAAGCTGAGGCTCTAGGAAGGGACAAACTGCCCCAGAACACACAAATCAGTGGTATCCTTTAATGCTTGCCCCAAATCTAAGACTTGCCACAGACAACCAGCCCATATATGAGAAAAAAAAAAAAACCATGCCCATCCTTTTCTTCTCTGTGCCCAGGAGTTCTTCATTCCACTGGTCCCCACTGGGAACGTATAGGAAATCCCCATCCTGATTCCCTATTCCTCCCCATCCTCAGTCTGAGAGCCCATTATTTCTCACTGGAGTCTTCTGCTCTCCCCCCTTATTCCTGCCTGTACATGGTACAGGAGACACTCCTTGTCTTTGACTTAAGGGCCCCAACCCTCTTCTTTGTTACCATAAGAGCTCCATGTTGACCATCCTCAGCCTGAGAAGACTCATTCTTCCCACTCTCAGCATAAAAGGCCCCAATTCCTCTTGTTCTGAGTTCCCTATTTCAGTGTCTTTGGGGGGATTAACTTGTCTTTTCCTTCAAATAAATAGAATTATGTACTCAACCCACGTAAATCCACTTTAAAGCAGCTCCCCATTATGCTTGCTTAACTTGTGGCTTCCGGGAATGTTAAATGTTAACCTTGCCTTTTACCTCATCTATAGTTAACCAAGAAAGACTGTTAACCCTGACACCTACCAATAGGAGAAGGGGGCAGTGTTGTGTCAGACTTCCCACCTAGTGTGCTTGCTTACCAGACCTTTGTTGGTTGCACACCCTTAGGCAGAAGTAAAAATGTTTGCCTTGCTGACTGACTCCTGAGTCTTACTCATTAATCCAGAGATTTTCCCAACAATTTGGGGGCTCATCTGGGAAATTTTCATCACCAGGAGGGGTTCGAGGACCTCCGTTTTAGGGGAGATATGTCTTGCCTCCAGCTACTGGCTGCTCTGGGATTGGGTGAGTCATTCCCTCAGGCCAATTAAAGACCCTAGACATTAAAGGTGGAGTCTACAGCAACTCAGGAAAGGGCCTTAGCACAGTTGTGACCAGGTAATGATATGCGCAGACCAAGGTAGGAAAAACTTTTTTTTTTCAGTACTTCCTTGGTGGTGGTTGAGACATTCTTGGAGGTTGGTTGGTGGTGTGTCTGAGACAAGTCTGAAGACATGAAGTGAGGTGCAAACTCCTGATCCAAGATTTCAGTTTCCCATGAGGGACCTGGCCGGAAACGGAGAAAGCCATCTTGGGTTGTATTTGATAAATCTCCAAAAAGGGGGGACTGGGTGTTGAACATACAAAGAGATAAAAACATGTGCAAGGATATCCGAGGATGGGAAACAAAAAATTACTGGAAAACTTCAGAATGAGGAAAAATTGGGCAAAGATGAAATTGATAGCCCCTTGGGGAAAAAACCTTCAGAGGACACAAGGCAGGAAAAAACAAATGATGATAAAATACTGCTGTTTTATCTGGGCCCAAGGACCTATACTCAGACCAGCAGTATTTTGGCCAAAGTGCGGGTCCAATGAAGAATGGGTCTGTCAGTTACTAATATAATACGTAAATAAGAGTCTAGTCACTCAGGAGAAAACTGATTATGCCCTCTGTTGGAGACGGAGACCAGTCACCCTCTACTCATTGAAAGAAAGGTGACATCAAAAGAAAAAGAAAAATGGGACCCCCTTAACTATTTGTCCCCCTTCCATAAGCACCTGGTGCTGAGAACCCACCCTATGGGGAAGTCCCTCAGGTAATAGCCCCTCAGGATGAAATTGACCCTGAGGATGATTTTGGAACAAATATAAGAGTGCCCACCAGAACCCCTGTATTCAACCTTACAAAAGTTCAGGAAAGAATTAGAACAATGTAAAAAGGATATCTATACTTTCCCCTTTCCTCCTTTGAAACCTTCCCCTGAGGGATTATACCCTTTATGGGAAGTCCCCTGAGGAGGAGGTGGCACAAGGTCTGTAAATGCTGCCACTCACAAGTTCAGAGATCAGATACTTTTAAAAAGTGGGTTAGGACATGTAATCAGTGAGGGAAAAGGAAAATTTAACCCAGAGAGGGTATCGGGCATAATAAACATACCATTACCAAAAACCAAGCAGGCTCTCAGAAAATTTCTAGGACTAATTGGATATTGTATACTATGGATTGACTCATATGCCCCCCCAAACAAAGGATTTATAGTCTAAGCTCCTGGAGGAAGAACCTGATCACCTCCTTTGGAAACCAAAGGAAATATAACTGGTAGGTACTTTAAAACGACCTTATCACTGCTCCTGTGTTGTCTATTCCCTCCTTGGAAAAACTCTTCCACTTATTTGTTATTGTGGATCAAGGAACAGCCTTTTAGGAGTATTAACTCAAGAACACAGAGGGCAGACAGCCAGTGGCTTTCCTATCAAAGCTACTAGATCCTGTATCTCAGGGATGGCCAGAATGCATCAGTCTGTAGCTGCGACTGCAACCATTGTGGAAGAAAGTAGAAAATTAACCTTCAGGGAAGCTCTAATTGTAAGCAGTCCTCATCAAGTTAGAAATATCCTAAATCAAAAAGTGAGATGATTGTTAAGCAACTCCTGGATCTTAAAATATGCAGCAATTTTATTAGAAAAAGATGATCTAATTCTTACCACAGATAATTGCCTTAACCCTGCAGGTTTCCTGATGGGAGGACAAGCAAGCCCCAACTTGAACATGATTGCCTTAACATAATAGACTATCAAACCAAAGTTAGGCCACATTTACAGGAGACCCCATTCCAGACCTGTGTGTGTGTGTGTGTGTGTGTGTGTGTGTGTGTGTGTTCGTGTGTGTGAAACTATTTATAGACGGGTCATCTATGTTCTCAACCAGGCTTTCAAGTTATTGAAAGACAAAGATGGAGCCATCTACATGGATTCCAAATACGCCTTTGGGGTGATACATACATTTGGAAAAATTTGGACGGAAAGCAGGCTAATGAACAGAAGAGGGAAGGACTTTGTCCATAAAGAATTAATAGTCCAAATATTAGATAACTTAATGTTGCCAGAAGAGATTACAATTGTACATGTACCTGGACACCAAAAGGGAGGAAACCAAACGGTCGATGAGGCAGCTAAGGAAGCTGTAATACAAGTGGAGGTACCTATCTTTAACCTAACTCCAGTTTTGCCTCCTCCTCCAACCAGACCAAAGTTCAGTGCTGAGGAGGAAAAACATCTCATCAAATTAGGAGCAATAAAAGATAGGGAAGGGGGGAGGGGGGAGGTGGCCCAAACAATGCATACACATGTAGGTAAATGTAAAAATGATAAAATAAAATAAATAAAAGCTAGGGAAGGAAAATAGAAACTGACAGATGAGAGGAAAATAGTTACTAAGCCCATAATGAAAGAAATTATGACCCTCCTCCATGAGGGTAGTCACTAAGGACCACAAGCCATGTGTGATGTCATCTTGAGAACTTATGGTATTTAGATATATGTACAGTTGCTAAATAGGTCTGTGAAAGCCGTATTATTTGTAAAAAAGGTTAACAAACAAGCACTTAGAAAAAAACCGTTAGAACCTCCAAGAACTCAGACCATTCCAAAACATACAGGTTGATTACACTGAAATGCCTAAAGAGGCCAACTCAAATACTTGTTTGTAATAGTGGATCATCTACCGAACTGGGTGGCAGCTGTTCCGCTTCCTAGTTCAACTGCCAGAAATGTAACCAAGATCATTTTAGAACAAAAATATTACAGTTTGGTTTAGTTAAAAACACAGATTCAGAAAATGGGAGTTACTTTACTGCCACCATTGTAAGGAATGTCACAAAAGGATTAGATATGGACTGGGAGTACCATAGTCTTTGGCACCCTCTCTCTTTAGGAAAGGTAGAACGACTGAATCAAACCTTAAAACAATAGTTAGCTAAGCATATGATAGAAACAAAACTTTCCTGGATTAAATGACTCCCTATGGTTCTACTTTGAATTACAATGGCTCCCAGAAAAGATGTAGGCCTATCCCCTTACCAGATGCTTTATGGGCTCTTCTTAGAATGATCCTCAGAATCACCCACAATAGAAACGAAAGATCGATTTCTTAAAACTATATACTGGCTATTTCAACTACTCTGCTCTCTCTTAGACTAAAGTCCTTCTGGCCCAAACTCCTCCTCTTGAGTTTAATGTTCATCCCTACAGACCAGGAGGTTACATCTTAATCAAAACCTGGAAGGAGAAGCTTCAGCTAACCTTGGAAGGATCCTACCAAATGCTCCTAACCACTAAGACTGTAGTTCGCACAGCCAAGAAAGGATGGACTCACTATACCAAGGTTAAGACCCTACCAAAGGACTATTGGACCACCACCACCGACCTGGACAATCCTCTAAAAGTCACCTTGAGAGCATGAGCCCACTACTGCTGTTGACTCCTGCTTCTACTTCTGCCCATAAAGACTGTTGCTGAGCCATGGGCAGCTGCTTCACTGGTATTAATATAACCACTAACCTAAATCCACAAACCACAGAGTTTGATGCTTATCATGCAATGTACCGTGAGGGTCTAACTTGGGAAAGACCTTATTACGTATGTCCTGAACCTAGTTGGGGATGTAAAAACAAGGATGGATGTGGCACCTGGGATGATGTATGGTAGACCACAGAGCCCAATGGGTGGATTGATTCACCAAGGCCAAAGGGACAGGTAGGGTATATAGGATAGGGATAAATGCTCCAGGGAGGGACCCCACTGGAAAATTTCAAATTAACATAATCCCCAAAGTAAATAAAGACACAGGGATTCCATCTCAGCAACTGAGATAAAGCCTCCCTGCCAAACTTCACTTCCAGCTAATGACCCAACCAAGGTTCAGATAGTTAAAATTACACATTTAAGACAAACCCTAGAAATTGAGACAGGATATGGAGAAACTAATGCCTTGGTAGAATGGATAAAATATTCTGTATGTGCATTAAACAACAACAACTATTATGCTTGCACTGCAGGATGACCAAGGCCCAAGTGATCCCTTTCCGCTAGGACAGAACTCAGACAGCTCAGGGGTACAATGCATGATTGCTCTGTTCCAACACAAGATGACCTGGGGGAATCAAACTTGCCAGAGTCTTCAAAGGCTAAGACCCCCTAAAACCAGCAGATTCCCAAGTTCTGGTGTCAATTACACCTCCTGTCTGATGTTGTGGAAGGGAGGATAGTACACTAACATTTTGGAAAATCTATCTGGATGTATACAAGGCCACATGTCTGTGGAAACTAATCACTCTGCATTAAGCCTATCCTGAGCCGACTTCTGGTGGTATTGCAGAGAGGGAACATTCCTGGTATCCTCCTGAGTAACTGGAGCAGAATTTGTGTGCTCATGCAATTGGTCATCAATTTTACCCTAGCATTTCAAAACTGCACCCACTGGGGAAGAAAATAAATGTCCCCATCTAAAAGAGAGACACCAGGTGGATCCTTTGGCAACAGCAAGGGAATGGCAGAGCAGTTAGATGCTACCAGCAGCAGAAAAAGGCATAGTACAAGAACTGAAGGCTCTAGTCAATGAACTGGCTGAGAATTCAGGGGTTAATGACCTGCTCACAGGATGGATGGAAAAATGGTTTGGGAAATGGAAAGGAGTTATTACTTCAGTCCTCAGTTCATTAGTTATTGTGTTAAAGGGTCCTAACCTACTGTTGGATGGTGTATAATCCCTTGTGTCAGGGGCCTAGTCTAAAAGTTAACTGAAACAGCCCTTACCAACCCCCCAGTATCGTACCAACAGAATAACCTCCTCCTCCTGGATACTGCTGAACGAGAAAGTTAGTTAATGTTAACCAAATTCGAGGAAAAGAGTGAATAGTACAAAAAGAAAAGGGAGAAACTGTGGGGGATAACTTGTCTTTTCTTTCAAAGAAATAGAATTATATACTCAACCCGTGTAAATCCACTTTAAAGCAGCATGCTTGCTTAACTCCCAGCTTCCAGGAATGTTAAATGTTAACCTTGCCCTTTACCTCATCTACAGTTAATCAAGACTGTGAATCCAAGTCCTACCAATAGGAGAAGGGGGCAGTGTTGTGCCAGGGATAAAAACCCAGCAGACTTCCCACCTGGTGTGCTTGCTTACCAGACCTTTGTCATTGCACACCCTTCTGCAGAAATAAAAATGTTTGCCTTTCCGACTGACTCAAGAGTCTTACTCATTAATCCAGAGATTTTTCCAAAAGTGTCCAACCTCCCATTCCTCTCTTCCTTGATCCAGGAGTTCCCAATTTCTTTCTTTTAGTATTTCCGTTCTCCCATTTCTTTCCACAGTCTGATATCCTCTATCTTGCTATTCCAGTGTTACGACTTTGACTTCCTCTGCATCATCTGTGCTAGAATCCCCCAACTCCTCCATATCAACGGCCTGAACAGACCCTCTTTCTTCCCATTCCTTGGCCTGGAAGCCTCCCACGTCTCCCATTCCCCAGCCCCGATCCTTCCTTCCCCTCTTCTTCAGTGTTCTGACCCTTAATTCTGCTCCAGTCTCAGCCCTCAAACCTCTCTCTTCCACTCCTCTACAGAAGTAGTCACCCATTCTCTCCTTCCAACGTCCTCTTATCTGCCTGAGAAAGCCTAGCTCTCCCAGGGTGCCCTGAACCACTTCGCACCCCAGTTCCCTCTGGTTCCCGTCCCGGGATCACGCCATCCCTAACTGTCAGTCTTCTGACCCTTACTTTTTCTCGTCCCGTCCTTAGGCATTCCACCCTCCCTTTTTCTCCCCATCACCACTGCTTCCTCAGCGTTCTGGCCCCTATTCCTCTCCCCACTTAGTGCCTGTCTTCTCCCGAGTGCTCTGATCTTTCCCAGTCCTCTCAGTCCTTGTCCCAACATCCCGACACTCCCGCCTGTCAGCGTCCTGCCTCTAAGTCCCCCCCATTCCTCCCTTTCAATATTCCGACGCCGCCATTCCTCCTCCTCCTGGCCAGAGGGCCCTTCATTCCTCCCCGCCAGGGTTCTGAGCTTCTATTCCTTCCCATCCTCCGCCTGAGCGCTCTCCACTTCCAGGCCCACGGTTGTCTCACCAGTTTGGCAGCAGGCGGGTGGCTTCCGCTGCTCTAGGCCCGCGGACCCATGGCGAGGATCCCGCCTGCGCGTCCCGCCTAGCCCTACTCTTCCTCCTCCACAGCCACCTCCTGCGAAGCGGTAGCTGTCGCCTTCGCTGCCGTTCGTTGCTCCCGGAACCGGAAATCCGCTGCCTGCCTCTCGGGCTCCGTCCCCGACGCGACACCCGCACGCAGACTTGACGGCGCTTGCCCTTCGTGGGAGCCTTCTGCGCCTGCGTGTTGCAGCCCAGCGACAGCGCGCGCCTAGCCGGGGACCAGCTGCGCCTGCGCGCTGACTCCAACACGGCTGCGCATCAGTCAAGCCCGAGAGCCCCGAGCGTCCTTCCCACGCTTGCCCGTTCCTGCGGCGCCTGCGCTCTCCAGTCCTAACCTAAGGGGGCGTGGCGGCCTGGCTTGCGCCTGCAGTCTCCGTAGAGTAAGCCGAGGCGGCCTGGGGTTCCGCCTGTGCACTTCCTTTCCCAGCCAACACTCTCCGCCAGGCTCCCCGACGTTTCCCCAGGGCTAGTGTCTTCCTCTTCCCCTCGCCTGATAGACTGGTCCGGCTCGTCCTCGGGAGCCGCGAGGGGGCGGGGCACGCTGCAGGTAAACTGAGGACCTGAGCGAGGGCGTGCCCATTCCCAAAGGAAGGCTGTGCTCTGCAATGAGATGGCGGCAGCGCGGGGGATCCTGCTGTAAGCATACCCCTAAAGCGGTCCTCAGGTCAGGAGGCAGGGAAGCGCTGACCAGACACTACAGCATACAGGTTGTTGGGCTGTACTCGGCGGGCCATGCTCTCAGAGGGGGTCAACTGTACGCACAGCCTCACCTGCACCCCAGCCCCTCTTCCAGGAGTCAGAACCAAAGTTGCAGCTGGAGCAGAGTGAAACCATCGGGACTTATCTTCGTTCTTCAAAATTTTATTAACAAAACCCAGGGGAGGGGGGAGGACAAGGGTGAGTAGACTCCACAGTCCCACCCAGGCACAGAGATCGGAGACAGAGAGACAAACAAGGACAGGAAAATTCTGAGACCCTCTGGTAAGGGCAGATGGGCAGTCAAAAAATGGATAGGCACAGGGAGAAAACTCAGGGGCAGTGGAAGAAACAGATGAATGGAGGAACGGTCAACTGGAGGATCCAGGACCACTCTCCCAACTGGAATGCAGGTTCTGGGCTGGTGAAGCTCAGCGGTCAGCAGTGGAGCGCAGGTCGGTAGTGAGCGGGTCATGCTGGATTGTCTGGTGCAGCATCAGGGCCAGTAACCCTGCCCGGTTTGTCATGGCTGTGCGAACATTGCGCTCCTGCTCAAACAGCTCATCCAGCTTGTACCACTGCCAAGGGAGTAGAAGGAGCTGTGAGAAGTAGTTCCTGAAGGCCATCTGATCCTGGCTACATTCAGCATCAAAACCTACCACCCGCACACGCTCCAAATCCACTTCAGCCCTCCGCAGCTTCTCCCAGCAATAGTGGCGATTACACTGGCGCTTGGGCAGGCGGCAGAAGTCACCTGTGAGCTCAAAGACATCACGAACAAGGGGGCACCCACACACCTCATCAGCTGGCACCTGCAAGGTCAGGTTGGGAGATGATTAGGGGTGGTGAGGGAGGAGGAAGAAGGGAAAACAGGGTAAAGTTCAAGGGAGAATGAAAAGGCAGAAAAAAGGGAAGGAATGTGAGTTGATCAGACAGGGATGGGAAGGAAATAGAAACTGTTAGGAAAAAGAGAAGGAAGAAAGGGAACTGAGGAAGGGAGAGATGGATGTGAAGTATGAGGCAGGGAGGAGCACAGTGGGGGGGAAGTTGAAGGAAAACCTTACTTTGGGGTCCCGTGAGTGCTCAGGACATAGCACCTGGAGCCGCTTACAGTATGTTTTACTTTGAGGATTGTAGACATCACAGAAGAGTCGTGTGGCCCTGGGGATTTGGAGTAGAGAAGGGGATGGGAGAGTCCATGTTTACCCAGGCCCAAAGCTGTAGCCTTAGATGGCTCCTTGACCACCTCAAAGGCCCATGTCCATTTCTTGCCAAATTTCCACAATATTCCATTTCTGACCCTACCCTAATCCTCCCCCCCACCTTCTCTAATCCCATGTGGCACCCTCACTCACCCTTCAATGCGTGTGGGGTACATGGATCCAAAGGAGGTCTGGCTCTCATACTGGGAGGGATAAGCACAAATGGAAGGAACTGTGGATGTGTGCTGTATGCCCTCCCAAGACACCACCCAAACAATACTGACATTCCCACAACATCCATCCCCTCAAGCTAACACCCTGACCTTGGCATAGCAGCGCTCCATATGGCGCAAGGCAACACGTGGGTTGATGGGGTGCCCACAGGAGACACAGAAGATCTGCAGGTCTGTGTCATCACTGTCATTTTCGTTGCTCTGCATGGAGTGGAATGTATGAGGTGGGCAGGAAGGACCAGGCACTGGGCCCTGCCCTGCTGTGACCCTGCTTCCTCACCTCCTCATCCTCACGCACAGCCTGCTGCTTAGCACGCAGAATGATGGCCTCAAGCTCATGGAATCTGCGCTCCATTTCCTGCAGGCGCGTGCGGGCACTCTGCTGCTCACGACGAATGCGTTCAAGCAGCTTCTTGCCGTGCTCTTCAGCAATGCAGGGGCTCTGCTGCCATTGCTGGATACGCTGGGGGAGGATCTCATAGATGCGGCTGCAGGGAAGCAGTGGGTAGGGTGCAGGCAGGGAAGCAACAAAACCAGTAAGTGGCGTGATCAAAGGATAGCACATGGATGGGTGGTGAAAAGGTTAAAATTGAATGGTTGAATAGTAGGAGAGCAGATACTGACTAAATAGTGGATAGATGGATCGACGGGGGTGGGGGTAAATGGTTATGTAGAAAGATGAGTGGTTGACCAAATGGTGTGTAGGTGACTGATAGATATACAAAGGTCTCTACTCTCTACTTCCTGACTCCCCCAAGAAAGACTCACTTGGCTGCCAACTTCATGCCACAGTCATCTGAGCAATACTTGGAGCTGGGCTGGGCAGCGCGCACACAGCCAGGCCCCAGGCACTGCGGTAGTGATGCAGGGTCCTTGGCATCAGCTCTCTCAGGGTGTTTCCATTTGTCCTTGTGTTTCTGCTTCTGTCGATGCCGCTTGTATCTCTCCTCCTTCTGTTGGGCAAGATATGTCAGGTCAGGGTGGAATGAAGTCAACCTCAGCCCGTCTCTCCCTCCATTCTGAACCTTTCTGGCTCTTGCCCCATTCAGCTTCTCCCTCCCTCCCCTGCCCCTTACCCCCACCTCCCCACATGCACTTTACCCTCTCTATCACCTTCTTCTCAGACTTCTTCTCCCGACGCTTCACATGCTTCACTTTCACTGCCCTCTTCCGTAGTGCAGGGTCCAGAAAGGGGGACTCTTCTGTGTCACTCATCCAGGGCTGCAAGCAGGGCATGTACTGACCCAGATGCCTGACTCATGACAACCCCATCATCTACTCAAACTGCTTATAACCCTCTGTGTCTTCTCTCCTCATAGGGTTCTCTGTTCCTATAACCGTTATCCCCCCTGCCCTAGGAGGCTCCTGCTGCTTACTAGGCCATGGTCATCAAAGGCCCCTGCACAGAAGTCCTGATACAGGTCAGGGTCCAGTGGTAGGTCCTCGTCTGAGAGTGGCTCAGGTGTGACTGTAGCTTCAGGTGGCTCCTTGACTACTGATGACACCACTGACCCTTCATCTTCACGGATGCGTCCCAGCTTCTGGGATGGCTGTGGTTGCTGTTGAGTGGGTGGTGGCCGGCGGGGCCTTGGCAAGGACTCTGAGGGCGTCACTGGCGAGAGCTGTAGGGCAGAAGCTCAGGACTGGCCCTGACTGCTCTGCCCATATGCCCTGCCCTGCCCTGGGGGGCTGGACTCACCGAGGAAGGGAAGTACTTGTATGATTCCTGTGTGGGAAGAAAGCACAGGTCAGTCCCCCTAAGAGACAGTGGCTCTGCCCTATCCCTACCCACCTATCATCCCTATCCCTCACCACCAGGACATGCTCACCCTGCCTCTTAAACCCTGACGTGCTTGACCGCTTGCAGACACCTGGCCCCACCAGGGCTGGGGGACAGGTCTCCTGCCACCCCAGCATTCTTGTTCATGTGGCATTCACCTGAACACGTTAGATCCTTGCCACCTGTCTGGGCACAACTGGGCTCTACCCCACCTTCCCCCCCGCCCCACCCCCCATTTCTAGCCACAAACATCCCTACCTGGACTCCCAGTCATATTCCCTACCTGACTCTGCCCAGTTTTGTCCATACTCACCCGGGCCCGCAGCTGACACTGCCGCAGCCGGCACTTCTGCCGAATCTTATTGGGGCCCCCAAACTTCTTCATGTCACGACAGAAGTCACAGTGGCCACAGTCCTCTGTGCGCCGGCAGGCCTCACACTCACCACACATGCGGGCTGACCTTTTGATCTGCTGTTGCTGCTGGTGATGCTAGGACAGATGGTGCCCAGAATAGAAATCAAGAATCCTGTAGGGCCCAAGACTGGACTTTACTCGCCCAAGCACAGCAGCCACTCACCTGGCTAGGTGTGGCCACCAAGGGCTGCGGAGAGGATTTGTGGGGCGAAGCAGAGCCCCGAGCAAGCATGGCCCCAACCCCTGTCCCTGACCCTGCCCGGCGCTGCAGGTCTGGATCGGGGACAGGCCTCTTGCGCCCTCCACCCTCATCCCGGGGCTCACTGCCGTCCCGCTCGCTGCCATCTCGCTCCCGTGACTTTTTGTGCCGATAGCGTATCTCCAGCTTCGGGTCCTTCTCTGTGGGGCGAAGGGTGGCCCGGGGTGGGTTGGCATGGGGGACTGCACGGTCCCAGATCTTCTCTCTCCTCCTCTCCCTCACTGCCCCCCAGGGCAGAGCGGATGGCAGCTCGTCCCGGAGCCCTCCTCCCATGTCCCCGCGGTCGCAGCCTCACCTCGGCACTCCCGACAGTACCACTCGCGGATGGCCTTGGCCATCTTCTCGGTGATCCGGATGCAGTCCCCGTGGAACCATTCGTTGCAGTTGTCGCAGCCGCTGCGGAGGGCCGGAGGAGAGGTGAGGGGCGCGCCCCGGCCCGGCCCGCCCTCGCCACCCTCGCCCGCGCTCACATCATGAAGCAGTTGA